AGGAGTGTCTTTGACATAATTTTACTGTTTACAATTAACAGATTCTTTTTGGTTTTTATGACCCTTGTCATCTTCCACATAATCCTGGATGGCCACTTCGCAATTATCTTGCCTATTTCTGCTCAAGGTGGGGCCTTGGAAAGATTCACTTTTTCTGCTACCGCGAAAACCGTGGTTTTGCAGATCTTGGATTGTCCCTTGTTGGAGAAGCTGAAATATCTCTTTCACAAGGTAGATCTATTGGTAATAGGTTTTGGTTTCTGATTTATGCTTTCCTTTATAAATGGTGAAAGTCATATCTTCTACATCACCCTAATGAATTTGTTTAGGAGGGAGGAATCATCAGAACATGCCCAATGTTGTGGGATGGGAACTAAATAAAGGGAAGAAGGGTTTGAGATGCATCAGCCTCGCTAAAACTATGGATCCGACGAGGTATGCATAAACATCTACAGCTGTATTCTATGAATATTTTAATGGTCATTATAGGTATCGCTGTCATGTTTTACCAGGTTAGCTGTATCAGCTGCTGATTTGAACTTGAAACTAATGAGGTGGCGGACATTGCCGTCATTGAATCTAGAAATGTTGGCTTCCACAAGATGTCTCCTTCTGGGAGCAGGTACCCTCGGATGCCAAGTTGCTCGAATGCTTATGGTAAGTGCTCAAGAAAATGGGAAAAAAATAGAAGCAATAATCGTGTTAAAAAAAAAATTGGAAGTGCTTATTAAACATTTTAAATTTTGTAGGCATGGGGTGTCCGAAAAATTACATTGGTTGACAGTGGTAAGGTCTCAATGTCTAATCCAATAAGGCAGTCTCTTTATGCGCTTGATGACTGTTTAAATGGTGGCAAATTTAAGGCCGTTGCAGCAGTTGAAAGTCTCAAGCGAATATTTCCAGCAGTGGTATTGATCCATTATTAAGACCTCAAAGAATCAAAATAAAATAATTTAAGATGTAGAGAAAAGATAAATTCATTTGCCGATGCACCTTAATTTCTTGACAGGAAGCAGAAGGAGTTGTGATGGCTATTCCGATGCCTGGACATCCAGTGTCTAGCCAAGAAGAAAGTAATATACTTCAGGACTGCAGACATTTGAGTGATTTGATCAACTCACATGATGCAATCTTTCTATTAACTGATACACGGGAAAGTCGGTGGCTTCCTAGTCTACTTTGTGCTAGTGCTAACAAGGTTTTCCTCCTTTATTTCTCTTGTGGATTTTCCTTTGAAATTTTGTTTACTTTTCCGAGACTAGTATGTTGCATGTGATGTTGAATTCACTAACTCTTCCTGATTATTACACGTCTTTTGTTTCTCTCTGCAGATCACTATTACTGCAGCCTTAGGTTTCGATAGCTTTCTAGTGATGCGTCATGGAGCAGGCCCTTTGGATGCTCTACACAACTCACAAGCTGAAACTTCGAATAAGCTCTCTGCCAGTATGGAGAATCTCTCCCTTTCGAACCAAAAAGAGTCAGTGCGATTGGGATGTTACTTCTGCAATGATGTGGTTGCACCAATTGATGTAAGATTCTTGTGAAAGTGATAGTAATTGTTCGATTGCAATATCTGCAAATATGAATCATTTTTTGTTCTGTGGTGCAGTCAACGGCTAACCGTACCCTGGACCAACAATGTACAGTTACTCGTCCTGGGCTGGCTCCTATTGCATCAGCCCTTGCTGTTGAACTTTTGGTTGGAGTCTTGCATCATCCTTCTGGGTAAATCCTTAACTATTTTGTGATATACATGCAAATTATGTTGTATCCCGACATTTTAAGCATTTCTTTTTTAACTACATTTGCAGAATATGTGCCAAAGCTGAGTTTGCAAACTCTAATGATAACGGCAGCACTGAACAACCTCTTGGCATTCTACCTCATCAGATTCGGGGCTCCATATCTCAGTTTTCTCAGATGACACTTGTCGGTCATGCTTCAACTTGTTGCACTGCTTGTTGTAGCACGGTAAGTTAAAATGTTTTAAACCAATTCCATCCTGAACTATTATTATACTGTACAATTTGATGTCATTTTCTTGCCTAACCCGTAGCCTCCGCGTATATGTTTGAGTCATGTGACCATTCATTCATTCATAGTCGTTGCACTTGCACCACACAATGTAACATCTTTAACTAACTTAGATTATATTATGCCTATCATTAAAAAAAAAACACTTTAGATTAAGTAACGCCCAACTATGTTGGCGTTTGACTTTGGAGCAACACAAAGTTGTTTCCAGGTGACTGATAAGTCAAGGGTTTGATCCGTGGAATTAGCCACTGATACTTCAATAGGCTGCTTGCACTACACCTCCTTGAGGGTGTAAGCCTCTCTGGGATGTTTCGTGCATCCAACTGCCCTTTTTATGTTGTCGTTGGACTCTCAGTTTTCCCTGGTATCTTTTACAAACTTGACTATCGAAAGCATCATAACTTAACAAATATACATGAAAATCCTTATTGCTCAGGTTGTATCAGAATATCGAACGAAAGGGATGGACTTCATACTTCAAGCTATCAATCATCCTACATATCTGGAGGATCTAACCGGACTAACAGAACTCATGAAATCAGCAGGATCTTACACGCTTGACTGGGATAACGATAGTGAAAATGATGACAACGACGATGATGATGACTGTGTAGAAATATAACCTTGCTGTAACATAACTAGATTCATTCTTTTACAATCAATCTGATTGTCTGTGTTTCACCTGACCGGATTTTCATAACTGCACTGATTAGGTACCACTATGTTCTGCTATGAGAACTCAAAAACTTTAGATAGTTTCTACATGTAAATTTCTGTTAGAAAATATGGCCTTCTGTTTTAGTTATCGCATTATTTTGTTGTTGTTACAGTCTTCTTTCTCTAGTGCTTTTTTTTAATCTCTTTTCTTATGTATCTTCTTTGATTTGCGTTACCTGTGTCAGGTTTTATCGGAAATAGTCTCTCTATTTTCGGGAAGTAGGGATATTAGAAAATACCCTACATGTATTTTTTTTTTTTTTTTGTATATCTTGGAAAATATAATTCAATTTTCCAACTAACTACATCTGTGTCAGTATGGCAACTGTATGAAAAGTATACTTCTTCAATTAAATAATTTTTATTTTCTATATATATAGAATGACCATCAATAATATTACTATTTTTTTCTCTCAATAAAATACTTTTTATTTACGATACTATTAAATAAGGTTTTGACTATATTAATAGGTTAAAGTCAATTTTTTTTTTTTTAAAAAAAAAAATTGAAGTCTTTTGTGAAAACGAAATCACTCAATTATCAAAAGAAATATTGACCAAGCAATAATGTTTTTTGCCATCCGAGATGGATTTAACCTTTTGGCTACGGATCGTAGGCGGAGTCAGAATTAAGAGTTTTAAAATTTTATTAGAATTGTTAATTAATTTTGTCAGGTTCACAGATTAATATACATATATATATTTAATTAATTTTCTTGCACAAATATCCGATCTACGAAAAAAACTACTAGATTTATCTGAAATCACGAACACCATGAATTTAATATTAAGAATCTTAAAAATCGAACTCATAAAATTTGAGTTTTGAATCTACATATATATTCTCCATTCTCTGAAAGTAGAAGTGTTAAATTAACGAGTCAAGCAATTTCGAGATGAATTAAAATGTATCAAGCAATAAAGAAGTTGAATCATAATTTGCTTATTATTTGAATAAATTAATAAATTATATTTTTATGAGCTAAATTTTACACGTAAAATAGCATTTAGTAATCACTTTTTAATCCCAAGTCTTTAATAAAAATAATTATTACACTTTAATTCTCAAGTTTGTGGAAGCTAAAACTTCAAGATAATGAATTATTATTCAATTATTATAAATGTAAAAAATGATTTATTTATTTATTCAATTTTTGCACCCTGTCTCATAAATGTATCCTCAATTATTATATTAAAAGTGTGTGTACCCATAATGTATTGGGTAGGTGTGTAAGCTTTGGACAGATCAAATACAGCTCCAAGACAGAACAAGTATTTTTTAGAACAGTATTATTTAATCTGACTTGACACGTCTCTTAAAAAAATTTAACTAAAAATATATTTCAAAATTTTAAATTTATCTATTTTGAAATTTTAGAAATGAAACATCTAATTTTAAATATATATATATACGTCAAGTAAAATAAAAGAGAGGAATTTATGACTTCAGCCTATAAAAATCCAAACTCGAATATTGAATATTTAACTAAACTAAGTTATTATATAAAATAATTTACCAAAGTAATACATTTTTCTAAAATTTTACAAAACTAGTATAAACGTATTTCACGATAACGTTTTAGGGCATATTTTATTTTTTAAAAACTAACAGCATTAGGTTGATATACGCTACTGTAAGTAACGTTTTACTTTTAAAACGTTATTTTCAGTAACGTTTTACTCCTAAAACATTATTTTCAGTAACGTTTTACTCCTAAAATGTTACTATGAGTAACGTTTTAGGAGTAAGACGTTATTATGAGTAACGTATATCAATCTGACATCATCAACTTTTAAAAAAATAAAATATATCCTAAAACATTACTGTGAAATACGTTTATACTAATTTTGTAAAATTTTAGAAAAACATATTATTTTGGTGAATGACTTTATATAACGGCTTAGTTTGGATAAAACCTCCTCGAATATTAGTACTTGAGATCTCTATTCAATGATTCTAAATTTATAAAATTCAAATCATCAATATTTAATAGTAAATACTTATAAGAAGGCCAAGAAAACTAACTACATAATTTTATTTTATTTTTTTGTTTTTTGTTTATTCATATGATTGTTGCTTTATCACTCTAAACATATGTATCTCGATAGATAAATACCACAAACTCTGAATCTTAGTACACTATATATATACATGAAAAGAAAAAAAAAAAAAAATCTTTAACACTACTAAAATAACAAGAAATCAGCTACAAACTTCGTCGTTGCTAATCAAAAATAGTTCATAGCTAATAAAATTTTCTTTTTTTTTAATAATAATTTTAATCTAAATTTTTGTTATTTAACGATAGAAATTGTCTGTGTCTCAAGGATAAGAAGAAAGCAAATGAGGAGGAATACAAGAAGAATCTCTCCAAACCCTAGAATGTAACCTTAAAATTTCCTTAGCTTTCTCTTTAGTCTTTGGACTAACATCCACTTGAAGAACCAAACACAACTTTGACACAATTCCCACTTGCAACATCTCTTGAAGAACTTTAGTACTATAACAAGTTGCTAAAAATTTTGAAATTGAATAAAGGATCCTCACTCCCCTATCACTTGCCAAATGTGAAACCCTAAGAATTTTCTTAGAAACAATGGCTATACCTCCACCATGTCTCAACAACTCCGACCTCCCATCAGCACAGGTACACAGATGATCTAAAGCCGTTAGTATCAATTCGCAAACCCTTCTTTCATTTGTGTCAAGAAGAAGTTCAATTAGGGCAAATACAGCTCCATTTTCAATTGCTTTTATTCTATTTCTTCCCCATGGACATAATTCAACTAGGAGCTTTAGTGCTAGTTTTGTTGCTTGTTGAGAGACTTTGTCATTTAATATACAAACTATACCCTTGATATACACCGGTTGTATACCAATTAATTGAGCTGGATCAGCCATACTAAGGGTTGATCTCAATAGGGCTATCGCGTTTGTTCGCGATTGAACATGACCATTATTCAAGAATTGAAGTAAAGAATCCAAGAATTGATTATCATTATGCGAGTTGATCAACTTTTTCAACTCAGTATCAGAAGGGTTTAGATGAAAAAGAATATTCAAAGCTTCATCACTCGCCTCTGGTTCTTCTTTTTTCTTCATCACAATCGAGGTCAAGAAATCAACTACCCCTGCTGACTCTAGACACATTTTATTACTCTCACTTACACGCGCTATTGATTTGATCCTCCTAAGGCAATCTAACTCCATATCCGGATTTTTTTGTGCTTCGTTCAATATTCTAACAACGTGAGCCCTTTGAACCTGAGGCTTCGGGGTTGGCATCCTTTGGATACCATTTGAAGAATTCAACATGCACCACGATTGAATCAAACGTCGTAGATTATGATTTGGAGTAAGATCTTTGAATTTTAGATCTTGATTTGTGACAGGACAAGTTGTGTGTTTGCATGAAAATAACCATTTTTCTATATTTTGTCGATCATATGTTATTCCAGTTAATATCGTAACTGGATCCCTCATAACTTCCATTGAGATTGGACATAGAAAATAAGAAGGAATATCAATTTCCTCCATATTTTCCACTATACAATATATCAAATTTGAAAGAAAAAAAAGAAGAAGAAAGGGTATGTATATAATGAAGATGCAAATGAAATTATTGGTTTATATTATATATAATAATAATAATGTGTGTGAATGTGAAGAAGTATATATATAGTAAGTGTATAGTATATAGTAATTAATAAGGGGCCGTGTTTAGATGCAAGTTGATTATTAAATTATGAGAAAGTCAACAAAAGAAAATTCATATGAGAGAGAGACAAGGAGAAAGGGGCTCTTAATAGACTTTTTCAATATTTTGGAAAAAATAAAATTGAATTATATAATATATTTTGCATCCTTTTTGGTCAACAAAGATAAAATTATGCTAAACATCATGTATACATTTTCTTCAATTCAATTTAGAAGTGATAGTATCAAAAATAATGTGTAATAATTATTTTTTTAATAATTTTTTATTTGATGTTCATAATTCATATTGAATCGCATACTGCAGGGTCTATTTGAGAATGACGTTTTCAACAAAATTTCTTATACCCTAAGCTCAAACATGATATCTTTGAATTAATTTTTAACTTTATTTCAATTTATATGATAATTATTTAATTTTTTTTAATTATTTAATGTTTCTCATTTCTCAAAATAAAAGTCTCGAACGTCACATCGATATGATTCAAATTTCACCTATATTTATCTTTTTAGATTTACATCAAGTATTTCTCTCTCGTTGATAGATCTAATTGATCGACACAATATTATTAACCTCTCACTCTTTATAAATAATCTAGAACAATGATAATGGTTGTAAAATTACTAGAGGATAAAATCTAACTTATCAACATAATATTATTAGCCTCTCAAACGAAAAATAAAAATTTATAACTGTCTTTTCAAAGATATAAAATAAAATCAAAACGATACAGAAAACATCTATCGATTAAATTAATTCTTATGGCATTGACTAAAACATAGGGGGGAGGACGTCGGTGTTGCCTTGTGTAGATAATGTCTACATTTTGACCAATTTTAGTACAATCTTTAATTAATTGTACCAAATTAATAATATACTTTATAAAGTACATTTTTTAAATATATTTTCTTTTAATGTAACAAAGTGAACACATGTTGTACAGACAGAAATCAATGGGCCAATTTGGGGTTCTTCCATATTAACTTTTCAACGTTATAAAAAGACGGAAAAAAATTATATATAATAGCAAACTAATAACCTAAAATAAATAGAGTAGCTAGGGTTTGATTTAATTGTGCTCCATACCAAACGTTTGCAAAAAATTGTCAGGCGCCTCTCTTCCAAATATCTCGCTCGCCACTCTCCTCCAATCTCTCGCTCGCTTCCTCATATTTTATACAAACACAAGTGTGTAAAAATTGTTTCTAATTGTATAAAACAGAGAAAATTATATAAATACATATATTTTTGTTCCTCTCTCTCCTCTCTTCCAAGTCTCGCTTGCCACTCTCCCAAATCTCGCTCGCCACCCTCGCCTTTCTCACTTATACAAACAGAAGCGAAATGTATAAATTGCGTTTTTGTTTGTATAAAGCGTGAGAAAATTGTATATACACATGCAAGTACATATATTTTCGTCCTATACACTTATAATTATATAATAAAAATACTCCCCTGCCCAGCTTCTTTTGTCTTTCTCTCTTTCTCGTTATATACAATTTTCAAATTGTATCTAATTTCTCTCTTTCTCGTTTCATACAATTCGATTCAATTGTATATTCTTTGTCAAGTCTCTTTTGTCTTTCTCTCTTTCTCATTATATACAAATTCAAATTGTATATAATTGTTCTATACACTTATAATAATACAATTCGTTTTATACACTGCGAATTTAAACAGTTCTCTGCCCAAGTGTCTTTCTCTTTCTTGTTTTATACATTTCGTTTTATACAATTTGCTTCAATAGTATATGTATAGCGAATTATACAGTTTTTATGTTTGCTATGGAGCACAATTATGCAAACTTTGCTATAACATACAAATATGAAATTTTTTATTTGCTATATGTGAATGTTATCCTATAAAATATGATTTTTCGGGGATTTTCATAATATGATGTCCATATTGACCTTATAGATACAACTAGCCATTGTACTATGAAAATCGTGTATGTTGGATTTGATTGATTCATTTTTTCTAACATGATTTATTAAATTTATTAAGCTACTTCAAAAGATCAAACGGTCAGTTTTTAATGAAATCTGTAAAAATACTCGTTTATATCGACTTCGAGAACGTACCTTCAATGTAGCTTATATCTAATTGTTGTGAAATATTTGATTTTAAATCAAACTATTTCTTCTACTTACCTCATGAAAAATTGGGCCTATCTCATAATTGCAAAATTAATATAAAGTTTATTATTTTTGACCATTCTAAACTATATATAGGTTTCTTGATTTGGTCCATAACAAAGTTAATGGTTCCACCTATCTAAATTAATTTTGATGGTCCAAAGAATTGACAATTATTAATATAGAGAAAGTTTCCTTCCTAATTATTTCATAATTTTTTTTAAATATTTAATTTCTTGCTTTACTTATTGAAATATTTTATTAAGTAACGGTCAAGTAATTAGTAAAAACTTCAAGATTAAGTTTGATGTTTTCTAAAGATATTAATGAGATAAGTAAATTATGTTAGAAGTATTCTCATGGAAAATTAATTAAGTCAAAATACAAACCCTAGGTTAGAAATAAATAAATAAAAATTAGCAGCTTGTTTGAAGGGGTACCTTTGATAAACTAATAATTAAACACAACCCCTGAATGGTAAATAAAGTCAAAAAACAATTTGAGAATTGACAAAAATCTCGTTAGTTTAGAAGTTAATTACTTAAATATATTCTAATTTGTAATGCTATGTATCTTACCATATTTTGGTGCGTCCAGATATATTTATCTCAGATACAAGGGTCAAAATTATATGTAACTTATTCTAGATATATTGTATTCAAATAGATTCGTATGAATTTAGAATGCATAACAAAACTCGCTTGTCTTCCTGGCTTCTGTCATATCTATCTCGCCACTCTATCACGTATATGATACCCCAGATACATGCGGCTCACCCCATATACATACAAATACATGTAGATAGTAGCATAAATACGTGTATAATAGTGTATTTTTATTTTTCAAAATATATGATAAGATATACAATATTTCGAAAATGTATATTATAATGGAGTATGTCTAATTATATAGTTTTTCCTTCCTTTAACCATCTGATTTTCGGCGCTTACTAATTAATTTGGATTAACGCCGCATAACACTTAGTTAAGAAAGAAGCGCTCGATCTCTTTTTAAAAAATTCTATACCTATTTTGAGACGTGATCAAATCAAATTTGTCCTAGAAATAGGGCTGTTCAAAATAGAATCAAAATCAATAAAAAAGTTATTGGTTTACAGTATTGGGTTATTGGTTTAGCGATTTTGATAACGGTTTTGATTTTTTTATGTTATCGGGTTATCGGTTTTTAACGGTCTGAAGTTTTTTGTTAACGCGTTAACCGCTAACTCGATAGTAAATTAAATCATTATATGTATATATATATATATATATATATATTATTGTATGTAAAGTCCTTGACTTTTCATACTTTTATTTTTGGTTGTCTCAAACATGACTTGGTTATTCTACAACGTAAAAGTGTTTTCTTTTGAGCAAAATGTAACTTGTGAACTCAAGTGCATGGTTTATTTGGTTTTCACCTTCTTTATAAGTGATTTTCAATGTTTTTTCTTTTGTTTTAAAAATGTTAACGGTTAAACCAATAACCGAACTGATAACGATCAAAAACCAATAACCGATAAGCCAATATTATAATTATTTTATAACAGTTTAGCATCTATACAAACCAATAACCAATAAGCCAATCTGATAAACTTTAAAATCGAACCGAACCGACCAAAACACAGCCCTACCTAGAAATGTCCACTTAAGAAGATAAAATACTCTCTATAGACCAGTTTTCAAACTCGAGACCTCCTAACGAGAAAAAACCTATTATTTAGGTACTAAAATACAATGAAGTAGTTGACATTGAGAAATTTACAAAATTCTTGGTTGTAATTGTAGGAGTTTGAATTTTTCAGAAAGTCTTTTGCAATTACTAGTAAATTACATATTTTGTCATTTTAAGTTGTTGTAAAATAGGGTAGCATATCACAAAAACAAAGTCTCACCACAAATTGGTACAACATTAATTAGACAATCAAATCAAGTTTGACTTACTCTTAACTCTTAACGAACCACAAAATTCTCATGGACGTTCTCATAAAAATACAATAAAAAAATATGAAATTTTCAATGAAAAAATAATCGAATATTAATTATTTTTTTTAAAAAAAAAATAGTGCTCCTATAATATATAACATTTACAAATTTGAATAATTAAGTTCATTTAATTATCTACTTAAAAATCTAATAGATTCTTTTCTGTATCAACTTAACTTTTTAATAATTTTTAGGGAAAATGCATAAGTACCTCCTTAACCTATGCCTGAAATCTCAGAGACACACTTATCTTATTTTATAAATAATTTTCTATCCTTTTCGTCCTACGTGACACTAGTTTGAAAAAAAATGTCAGCACACGCTGGGCACACTAGATAGTGTCATGTAGACCAAAAAGGGGTAGAAAATTATTTATAAAATAAGTTCAAGAGGGTATTAGGACCTTAGTATAGTATAAGTGTGTCTCCGGGATTTCGGGCATAGGTTGAGGGGGTACTTGTGCATTATTCTTAATTTTTATTGTACATTTAATTAAGAGGACTATAATACGAAAATCAACTTAATATTATGAAATGTTGTGTTCGTTAGATAATGTCACATAAATTCAAGTTAAAGTTAGTCTTTGGCTACACGATTTCGAAATTCAGTTACAATTTCTACTCAAAACACGAAAAAATAATTTTTGGATACAAGTCAAATGAATTGAAACAAGCAACTCCAACTCAATTCAGTGGGACTATTATTTTATTTTTGAATTTTCTGAATTTAAAAATTAATTTATTGAAAAGCTTCATTGACAATCATAAAAATGTTATGAAGATTTAAGTTCGAAGTGATTTTTTCTTCGAAAATATTATGTATCTGAGAATATCTTTTGGAGCTTATACATCAATTTTGAGGGAGTTCGCTGAAGATCAGAGTTGATTTTGATTTCAAGTTTAAATTTTAATCAAATACATACGAGCAACATACAAATGACGTAATGATATACACAAACATATCAAATACATATAAACAACATACAAAATGTTCTAACGGAGAATATAATTGTATCATGTAGGCGAGTTGTATATATCATTTGAATGTGTATACAATAGAATTTTTGTAAGTAAGTAGTTATCTTGATCGATTTGTATACAATTATAAAATTGTATACAAGTTAACTTGATTCTATGCAACATAAAATTGTATAGAAATTAAAGTGTATATATATATATATATATATATATATATATATATATATATATATATATATTGTAAAACATAATGATATATTGGTTTTCTAATAACAAATTTAAGATTTATGCTTTATTTCGATTTATATAAAATATCTTTTTACTATTTTTTTAAAAAAAACCTAATTTACTTATATACATATGACATGTATTTTTAACTGTTTGATTCCTGATACATATAATATACACTTTATATATCTTCTACATACGATTAACTTGCACGAACCATTCGAAAACACATACATTGGATCTAGTTGGTGGCACATACAATCAACGTATTCACATACATATGTGTACATCCAATTTTGACTTTGAAAACACATACATATTGTTATGAATAAAATACGACCTAATATTGATACGTATACGGGGTGCCACATAACTAGTTATCGGGCCGAATAGAAGCACAAAATTAGAAGGCCTTCACAAAGATTGATCTGAGACTAGGGGTGGGCAAAAATATCGAAAAAATCGAACCGAATCAAAAAATTTTGATTTTTCGGTGTCAGTTCTTTTGTTTTTTGGTTCGGTGTCGATTTTTTTTCGGAACTTCGATTCTTCGGTTTGAAGTTCAGTGCAAGGGTCCCGAAACTTCAGTGCACCGAAGAACCGAAGTTTTATTTAATAAATTTAAAAATAATTAATTTATATTACCTATATTATATATTTTTGAATTTTACTCAAAATATTTTTAATTTTAAAATGAAATAATGAATTGACCACACACTACAGTCAACATTTAACTAATTTTTACTAAAATTTCAAATCACTAAGACACTAACAATTAAAATATAATATGTAAACCCTAAGCCCCAAATTAAACTTTTGAGTTTTGAGTCGTCTTTAGTCTTCACTCTTCAAGCTTTTGGCTTTTTGTCATCTTTCTCCATTTCTCGTTGTCTTGAAACTTTCTTCATCTTTCTCGTCGTCTTCAAGCTTTAACCGAGAGCGTCGTCGACCGCTTTCCGTCTTCTCGTCGTCTCGTCTGAGAGCGACGACTCTGAGCCGCCGACCGCCTTCTCGTCGTCAGAGAAATGAAAGAAGAAAGTGAAAGGTGTGGGAATGGAGATGAGTTTAAAAGTATTGCAGAGGTGTGGGGGATGTATGGAGATGAGTTTAAAAGATTGAAATTTGAATGAGTAGTTAATCAAATGTCTGGAGGTGAACCTTTATATAATTGTATTGAAATATGGCAATTGGGATGAGTATTGCAGAGGATGTATGGAACGTGAAAATTGCAGAGGATTAGGATTTAGGAGTGTATGGAACGTGGATCGTGGGATAAGTATTGCAGAGGATGAAACTATTAGCACTTTGACAGATTGTTCTTACTTCTTAGCAGTTAGCAATATGGCAATTGGCAGCCATTCAACTATCTATGCTAAGAAACCATTTGGCATGTAAAGAAAATAAAAATCATCTTATTTTTAATTAATACATGATGAAACTATTAACACTTTATTTTATTCCCTCTTTATTTTTATTTACACTGAAAAATTGATTAAAAAATACCGAACTATACCGAACCGAACCGATCTAGTTTGGTATAAACTATGGTTCACACTTTTCTAAAACCGAATACCGAATCGAAATTTGATTAAACTAAACCGATGAAGCGAACGCCCACCCTTATCTGAGACCCAAGTCCAATTAACAACTAACGAAAATGACGACAGATGAAAAAGAACTGTTAATGCAAATTATTAAGAAAACTGTTTAGTCCTCTCATCCACTTTCTCTGAGTCGGTCTCTTGTCTCCTTCTAATTATCTTCTACAATAATTTTCTTTGTTAAGTTCCATTTTTTGTTATAATTTTGATTTTTGTAATTATAATATGTGAATATTTTTATTGTGAAACCGAATTTGTTTCACGTACATACATATTATGTTTCACTTAAGATTAAATAATATATATGCTCATACATTAGCCGATTACTCATTAACAACATTTTGTAGATCATCTAATTTTCTAAGTTTTGAAAAACAAATAAAATGAGCACTAAATAAAGCTATTTATTAAAGATCCCCTTTTAATTAACTAAAAGGGAATATAATAGATCCTAAATCTTCGTTTAAATTATAAAAATAAGTTGATCGGACTTTAACTAAATAATTCCAATTTAGTTAAGGAAAATAATCTGACGTCCGTTGTTACATTTTCCCTATTTATTTTCCCAATTCGAAAATTTCCCCTTTTTGTCTGTTTACAAATTTCATTCTGAGCGGGAAAATCTTCAAAGTTTTTTTTTTCCAGTTTCAGAAATGGAGAACAAAGATGTCGCCGTGGAGAAAACCGACGCCGGTCCGATCGAATTACCTGCTCCTCCTGGCTGGAAGAAGAGAGTTTGTACTCTTTGATACTTTTTTCGCTGTTAAAATTTCGATTCAGCTGTTTTTTATTTAGTGATTTCTGTAATTATTCGTTGCTTAGTTGCGTGTTTGTGGTTGAAAAAAAATGGAGATGTAACTTTTGTTGCTGTTAGTGTGCGGATTTAGGTTTTCATGAGGTTTCTGATTTGGTGATTAAATTTCGATTTAGCTGGTTTTTGTTGCTTTGAATTAATGATATGTTAAGTGTGTTAATTGTGATCTAGATTTGATTATGTGTGATATGTGAAGCTCTGAAACAAGTAGATGATTATGCTTTTGTTAGCTTCCTAGCTAAAACTTATGCAATTTAAGTATATTCAGTATGTGTTTCCTGTATGAACTTGATAGAGTTCAACTTTTATCTGAAAATAATTATGAGTGATGTAAGGTGGAACTCGAACAAGTACCTGTATTATGATTTAGTTAGCTTCATAGCAGAAGTTCTATGAATAGGTGTATGCAGTTTGTTTTATGAACTTAATAGAATTAATGATTTTCATAACTGTCGGGATTGTCTCCTAGCTAATCTGGATGATTTCAAAATTAAGATGTTGTGGTTTAGTTTGTTTATTTTATCACCTCTTTTCAGTCATATAGCTTCCAGGTTATTTGTTGAAAAAGGGAGAGCTGTTTCAGTATTGACAATGAAAGATGTATACTACTTGAAATAAATGCTTATTTAGGAGAGGTATTTATACCAGCATTTAGGATGTAGGCGGAATTGTCTCCTAGCTAATCTGTATAAGATCATAATTAAGATGTTGTGGTGTTAGTCGGTTGATTTAATCACCTTTTTTAAGTCATATGGTTTCCAAGCCATTTTTCGAAAGACATAAGATAGTCACTGCACAGCTCTTTATGTAATTGAGGGTGCAAGCTGTTCCAGTATTGACCATGAAACATCCGGAGTACTCATAGATTCCTATTTAGGAGAGGTATTTATACCAGTACTCAGGACTAACTTGGAAACTAATGCTACTAGTCTGCCCTAGTACAGAAACTTTTTTGTTGTTCGAAATATTTCTTAAGATTGTCAGAAGCTTGAATCAACTTCAACTTTGAAGGTTACTTAATTAAGTTTGTTGAATGTGTGGCACTAACTATATTTACCTGTGTGGAACATATATGAAAAATATCACTGTATCTGAACTTTTCTACTTTTTGATGGATCTGTGGCCTATCTGACGTGGCTTAAATTTCTGAAGTGAATTTCCCCTAGAGGGTTGTATACAAAAGTTGAGTCTCTATTTAGAATGCCGACTTGTAGAAGTATTTTTTTATTTTAATCAGTTTGTATTTTGTTGGTAGTAAGTATTTGTTCGTCTTTCCAGTTCACTCCGGGAAAGAGCAGTACCCCTAGAAGGTATGCTATTGTATTTGTTTCACCTGACGGCGACGAAATTAAGAACAAGAAGCAATTAGACAAGTATCTGAAATCTCATCCAGGAGGACCTCCTGCCTCTGAATTTAATTGGGGTACAGGTATATCTTCTCTAATCACCTTTTGTTTGTTTGTGCATATCTGGAATGCATTTCTCCCAATGAAATATCCAGTAAATTCTTCGGATGCGATGTTGCAGATTCATCTCTGGGAGGTTTGTTTAAATTCCTTATTGATTGGATGAATCCTCTACTTTCTGACTTATTCAGGTGACACTCCTAGACGATCAAGTAGATTGGGTGGAAAATCTGAAGCAATGGAGACACCAGAAAGTGATACTCCCAGTACGAAGAGACAAAGGAAATCAAGTTCCAAAAAAGAAGCCAAGGAAGATGGTAGCGAGCGAAAAGCTGAGGGTGCTACTGAGAAAGAAACTAAGGCAAATGATGAACCTGCTTTGCCTGATGCAGAGGATCTGGAAGCCCAAGATGTAGAGATGGCATCTAAGAATCTCACTGATGGAGATAACACAAAGGATGAGAAGGAGAAGACCAATGATGGCGAGATTGTCCCCAAGGAGCCTCTGGCAAGTGAAGATAAGATGGAAATTGTGCATGAAAAAGAAGAAACAAAGGATGAGAAGGAGAAGACTGATGATGGTGAGATTGTCCCCAAGGAGCCTCTGGCAAGTGAAGATAAGATGGAAATTGTGCAAGAAAAAGAAGAAACAAAGGATGAGGAGGAGAAGACCAATGATGGTGAGATTGTCCCTGAGGAGCCATCGGAAAGTGAAGATAAGATGGAAATTGTGCAAGAAAAAGAAGAAATATTGGATGAGGGAAACATTGAGAAAATGAAAAATCGAGAAGCGGAAGATAAGCCTCTGGATAACAGCCTTAAGACTGACAATAAAACACTACCGTTGAATGTGTTGGAAGAAAATAAGATTGAGAGTAAACCAGCTGGGACAGATGCCTCATCTCTTTCTGTTGAACACAGCAAGTCAACCTCAGGTAGCCAAGAAGAAATTGCAGAAGAAGCTCCTGCAGCTGAAGATGCACTGGATGCGCTTGAGGAAAATAAAATAGAGAGTAAACCAGCTGGGGCAGATGCCTCATCTCATTCTGCAGAACTCAGCAAGGCAACCTCAGTTAGCCAAGAAGAAGCTCCAGCCGCTGCAGATCCACTGGTTCAGAATTCTAATGATGGTAAAGTACACGAAAATGAGCAGATTGTCAGGGAGATTCCAATTGAGGAGATCAATGGTACAGAATCCGCTGCAGCATGTGTTAACAATTCTGTGCAGCAAGAAGCCACCGTAATCAACCAAGCCACCTCAAGTTAACTTTTTTATATCTTAGTAGAATACCGTATCATCTGGCCTTCATTTCTTCTTGGCCCTGATTTAGGTAACTGACAAACAGCATCAAGCATGCTCTGCATATTTTAAGAATTCTTAGCTGCTTATTTTGTGTTAAACTGTACTGCTGCTGTCATCTTCGACATTGATCAACTTATATTCTATTAAGGTGTCAGGATTTCTTGCATTTTGACAAAATGTTGGCCCATTTCTCTATTAATAAATATATACAGTTATGATGTTTTCTGGAAAGGTGGCTACTAAAATCAAGAGTAGTTGTCTTCAAATTGTGGTAGCACCTCTCCTTTTCAGTTCAAGTCAGCGAGGTACTTCACAGTTTGCTTAAAGTTGCAATAATGAGTAGTTTCATCACTTTTTCTGATAATGCTAACTGTGCAGCGGTTGAAGATTTAAAAGTTCTTCAACTTTGAGTGAAGATCTTTGATAAGGCATTGGTTGTACTTCACGTATACATCGAACTCTCCATGAAACTGTAAGTTCCTTCCCTCTAGTTTCAGTTTTTGTTTCTCGATATCATTTTTTTTCAATACTTGGATTACAGTTCTGAACTGAATTGAATAGTCTTGACTTTTGACGTATGCCATAATGTGATCTTCTAGCTACTTATATCGATGTTTTTCACTCAGTTTGAACTGATTACTTATATATACAATGATTCTTTATCTCCATCTCTGATGAATGATCATATAAGAACTTAATCACAAGTTTTATTTTGCTTTAAGTTTTATCGAAATGATGCTGTTGGAAGTTAATTTTAACTTCAGTTAATATGATTATGTTTTTTTCTGCTGAAAATTGATCTTGTTGGTGAAATGTTGTTAATATTTTTAGATATGGGATATTGATTTTGTGTGTGCTATGTAATATTTTGTTATTCTCACTACTTTTTACTCACTTTTAATTGCTTCTAAGTTAAAAAAAGGGAGAGTAAGTTGGTGCATTTTTTACTTCAATCATATGTTCTTTCGTGTTATTCTTTACTTAGTTTGAGAAACTTTGTCCACATGCATAATATTGCTCATGGTATTAGTTTAATATTTAAATATATTTTATTTTTATAATAATAATATTGTAGAGGGGTAATAATGAACTTCTATACCTAAGAACACGATGATATGTGCTCCCATCGTGTTTTTTTTTATGTATTTTTATGAAAATATTAATTAGAAGAAGATCTTAGCCATTTTATTTTTATTTTTGTTTAAAATATCAAAAAAATTATGAAATATTTATTCTATTAAGGTGTTAAAAGTTTTCAAAAAACAATTTGAAAAAATATAATTAATTTTATCTCGAATTCCTAAAAAACAATAATCTGCATAATCACACGGTAAATTTCGGAAGAATGAATGTATACATATAATTTCTAAAATAATAAATAATTTGAGAAAATTATTTTTAAGAATAGTACTAAAGAACAGTGTGCTTTCCCAGATGACCTTTCTAGAACAATGTATAAAGTATCTAACAAAATACTCATAAAACAATTTTTTTAAAAAAAGATGAGTGAGCATGGAGTTGTCCATTAGGAAAACTGCTGTTTAGAAACATGGATTTTGTGGGAAACAAAAATGGTGGTTATGATATTTATCTTAATTTAGTAAATTTATATTTTCATCCTTCTAATTTGGTTTTTAAAAAACATACAGTCCTCATGTTTTAGTAAATACATAACTAGAAGACCATTGGATTATTATTATTATGAAAAATTTTATTCATTTAATCATAATCATAATATCTTTATTTCTAAAACAAAATTATTGTAAACAATAGCCAAAATTTAGATATTATTTGTGAATCTTCTAATAAAGAGATTAATTAATTGTACAAAGTAAAAATTATCTGGCTAATCCTAAAAATAAATAAATAATGATGGAAGAAATATTTCACGATGCAAGTCATGTGCCTACTTAAGCACTTAATTTTATTTTTTCTTAACTTATAAGAAATTGAAAATATTAATTAGAGATGTCATTTACATATCAACTCCAACCTTTTCATAATATCAAAATTCACCCTCCTAGTCCACTTAATTCAAGATAAAACTTAATAAAACTTCATTCAGAAATTTGAATAGTCCCTTCTGTATTTTCTAACTATTTGTTTTTCATTGAATGAATCACAGTTTTTTCAAAGCATTACTATTTCTAGTATAGATTCGATAATTCATGCCATGTTAGATTTCATTTGCTAATTGAAATTTTATTCCGAAGATAAATTGAAGAATAAAAAAGTTGTGGACATTATTACTTATTAGCCCCCAAACTTCTTAAAATGTCAAAAAACAACCCCTAAAGTGTGTATTTTATTGTTTTTGTTTCAAAAAGAAGTATCATTGCCGACTTACTGCAGCATTCCGTTTCACTATAAAACTTGGCAATTCTCCGCGTTTTATGCTACCAAAAATTCTCCGCCATGAACGACCCAAATCGGCCAGTTACCGGTTACCCTGCCGCCGGAGCACCGCCGCCAAACCCTAATGGTTACGGAGGTGCTGCTCAGCAGCAACCACCGATAGGCACCGGTTACCCATATGCAGCACCGCCACCTGGCTCCGCGGTGTACTATCAAAACAACCCGTACTACCAACCTAATCACTACGATGCCCAACGCAACACCTTGCTCCGCCGAGTGATCGGTATGGCTATAGCTTGTATGGTCATCGCTGGTACCTTTGTTTTCATTCTCTGGCTGATATTTCGTCCTCGAATCCCCGAGTTCAGAGTTGATTCACTGTCTGTATCGAATCTTAATCTGACTAATTCGCTGATTTCTGGTAAATGGGACCTTCGTTTTACTGTGAGAAACCCAAATAAGAAGATGACCCTTTACTATGATGACGTCGCCGCTGCAGTTTTCTATGATGACGTGTCGCTTTCCGATACAACGGTTCCGCCTTTCTTTCAAGAGAAGAGGGCTGAGACGGCCCGGCAAGCAAGTTTTGCTACTGCGGGCGCTTACGTGAATAATCGGGCTTTTGATCAGATGAACAAAGAAAGGTCGCAAAAAGGTGCAATTGGGTTTAATGTGAGGATCGTGGCTAGGGTTAGGTTTAGGTCTGGGGCTTGGAGAGCGAGGAGGAGGTTTATAAGGGTGTACTGTAAGGATTTGTCAGTGGGGGTTGGGTCGAACAATTCATCGGGTACCTTGCTTGGTGGTGCACGACAGTGCCGGGTTGGCCTCTGACGGTGATCTTTGGTTGTATTAAGGTGAAAATCTATCGTTATTGGCAAATGCAATGTGGTTAATTTTGGTCTAAGTTATTATAAGAAAGACTGTTTATAAGGGCTCAATTGGTTACATTGTGTATAATTTTATGAGTAGTTGTTTTTCTGAGGTACATTGCTTATCAAGCTAAGCTAATAGCTTTTCCTTGGTTGTTCTTGCATTTATTAGTTCATAGCATAATGAATGAAGTTGACATGAATGTTAAACTTGACTGTTTATAAGTGTTCATTGGCTTACATTGTGTATAATTTTATTAGTAGTTGTTTTTCTGAGGTACATTGCTTATAAGCTAATAGCTTTTCCTTGTTTGTTCTTGCATTTATAGCATAACATATGAAGTTGACATGAATGTTAACTTGACACTTTATGTTAAAAAGTAAATATGAATTAAGAGTAGGTATATACATCACTGATCTTGAGGTAAATCGAGATGTAGAAAGGCCCTTTAGTTCAATTATGGAATTTGCTTCTGGATCATTCTGTTATCAGCCTGTATATCTTAATTTTTTTGTCCCGGTGCTCTGAGATGTTTGTTTTCCAAGTCCAGCAGAACTCTTTTTGGAATATAATTAACTAGAAAGTGATACCTAATAGTTCCAAGGAGAGTAGGATTTGTTTAGTTCATGTGCATTTTTTGTTAATATTGCTTTGTTCAGTACTAGCTGCTGGTAAAAGTTCACGACGATTGAAACGTGTTCATCTCTTGGTAGATAATAAGTAGACTGACCAGTTGTTGATGTGTTCAACACCACCTAGTTTTTGCTGAAATAGAGGAAATCACCTTTCTTTGCGTCTGTATTCTGATCTGGTTTGGTAACAGACAGCTCGGTGTGTGTCTGTGTCACAAACTTGAAGGTTTAGATTGATGGTCCTAAAGAATCCTAATCATGGCTGTTACTGATGACTTCGGCTTACTCTTAAAAGTTGCCTGATCTCCACACTTGATAACGTGTGGATAGAGAAGAAGAGTGAATAATACTAGAGGATAGGATAGGGAATGACTTTGGCTATTAGAGATGAAATTAGAGTTAAGATGAGTCAGTTTCAGTGGTTTAAGAATTCGAAGGTCTGTGGGTACTTTGGTCATAATGGTAAGGTTAAACAATTAGTTAAGCTGTAGTGCGTTTTTCTACATTTGCAAATATATCACTGCTTGTATGATTGCATACTCTTCCCATCTATCTCAGAATGTTACTTGTCCGGTAATTGTCCCAATATATTCTCGCTTTACGGTGTAATGACAAAAAGCGTTGGGTGTGATATCACAAAATGTACTTTTAGGTTGGATCGATCATAAATGTTTAGGCAGGTTTTGAGTCACGATTTGTGGCTAAGTAGATACCATCATTGCTTCAATCTTTTTAAGTTTGAAAGATATCATATGGCTTCATTCACTATGTATCATTGAATTCGGGTGGGATCGACGTGCTTTCCTTTTAATAAATTGTGACTAATAATGATTTTTTCCATACAAGTTCGATGTTAGATCTCCTTTGCTAATTGAAATTTTATTCGCACAAATATAATCTTATACGTATAAATCGGGGGGAAAACCATAATTACTTATTATTAAAATGTCGAAAACAAAAAAATCCCGTATTTTACTTTTTTTTTTAAGTGCCGGCTTACTGTTGCATTCCATTCAGTGTAAAACTTATGAACGACCCAGTTACGGGTTACCCTGCCGCTGGAGCACTACCGCAAAACACTGACGGTTATGGAGGTGCTGCTTACCAACAACCACCGAGAGACACAGCTTACCCATGTGAAGCACCGCCACCTGCCTCCGCGGTGTACAACCAACCTAATATCCACGATCCCATACGCAAAGCCCCCATGCTTCAAGTGCTCGGTGTGTATGCTATTGCGGTCATCGGCATTTCAATTATTTATATTTTCGTTTATATACTTGATGATAGAGAGCCCGTGTTCAGAGTTGATTCACTGTCAGTGTCGAATCTTAATCTCACCAATTCGCTGATTTCTGGTAAATGGGACCTTCGTTTTATTGTGAAAAATCCGACCAAGGAGATGGCCATTTTCTATAATGATATCGCTGCTGCGGTTTTCTATGATGATGCGTCGCTTTCCGATACAACGGTTCCGCCTCTTTTTCAGGTGGATACGACTCAGACGGCCCGGCAAGTGAGTTTTGCTACTGCTGGCGCATACATGGATAATCAGGCTTTTGATAAGATGAACAAAGAAAGGTCGCAAAAAGGTGCAATTGGGTTCAATGTGAGGATAGTGGCTGGGTTTAGGGTTAGTTCTGGGGTTTATTGGAATCGGATGAGGACGTTTGTAATGGTCTATTGTAAGGATTTGTCAGTCGGGGTTGGTTCGAATAATTCATCGGGCACCTTGCTTGGTGGTGCGCGACAGTGCCAGGTTGAACTCTGACGGTGATTTTTGCTTGTTTCAAGGTGAATATCTATTGTTATTGGCAAATGCAATGTGGTATTGGTTAACATTTATCTAGCTAATAGTTTTTTTGGTTGTTGTTGCTAGTCCATTGCATAACGAATGAAGTGGACATGAAAGTTGTTTTAAAAAGTAAATATGATCTGAGAGTAGTTATATACATCACTCATCTAGATTATGGAATTTGCTTGTTGATCATTTATCAATTGATACCTGTTTAGTTGATGTGCATTTTTTTTGCTAATATTGCTTTCTTCTCTACTGGTATAGGATTGAAACTTGTTCATATCTTGGTAGAGTGGCCAGTTTCTGATGTGTTCAACACCACCTAATCATGGCTGTTACTTGATAATGTGTGGATAGATAATTTCTGTGAATATAGAAAAGCAATGAGTTTTGGGGCAAGTGTGCTGAAAATTAAGTTCCATGTTAGGTTTCCTTTGCTAATTGAAAATAATCTTATACGTATAAATCGGGGGAAATCATAATTACTTATATATTAAAATGTTTTAAAAAAAAAAACACTATATATTACTCTTATTTGTTTAAAAAGTGCCGACTTACTGCAGCATTCCATTCTCTATAAAACTTAACAATTCTCCGCCATGAACGACCCCGTCACTGGTCACTCTTCCGCTGGAGCACCACCGGTAACTCTAACGGTTTTGGAGGTGCTGCGGTCGAACAACCACCGAGAGGCACTGCTTACCTATGTGGAGCACCGCCACCTGTCTACAACCAACCTAATCCCTACGATACCAAAGGCAAAGCCTCCATCATTGTATTGATCGGTATGACTATAATTGGTGTAGCCTACGCCGGTGCAATTATATTTATTCTCTTGAGTGCACTTGATGATGGAAACCCCGAGTTCAGAGTTGATTCACTGTCAGTATCGAATCTTAATCACACCAATTCGCTGATTTCTGGTAAATGGGACCTTCGTTTTACTGTGACAAATCCATCTAAGAAGATCATTTACTATAACGATATCACCACTACGGTTCTCTATGATGATGTGTCGCTTTCCGATACAACAGTTCCGCCTTTCTTTCAGGTTAAGAAGACTGAGACGGCCCGGCAAGCAAGTTTTGTTACTGCGGGCGCATATATGGATGATCAGGCTTTTGATAAGATGAACAAAGAAAGGTGCAATCGGGTTCAATATGAGGGTGGTCGCTGGGGCTAGGTTTAGGGATGGGTCTTGGAGTAAGAGTAGGACGTTTATAATGGTCTATTGTAAGGATTTGTCCGTCGGGGTTGGGTCAAATAATTCATCGGGTACGTTGCTTGGTGGTGCGCAACAGTGCAAGGTTGAACTCTGATGGTGATCTTTGCTTGTTTTAAGGTGAAAAAATCTGTTGTTATTGGCTAATGCAATGTGGTTAATCACTGATTATTGGTTTCCATTGTGTATAATTTTATAGCTAGGTACATTGCTTATCAAGCTAATAGCTTTTGTTCTTGATTTTTATAGTCCATTGCATAACGAATGAAGTGGAATTTGATACATTATGTTAAAAAGTAAATATGAATTGAGAGTAGTCATATACATCACTGATCTTGAGGTAAATGGAGATGTAGAAATGCCCTTTAGTTCAATTATGGTTATTTACATCTTCATGTCCAATGTCCCTGTGTTTTATACTTGATAGGTATATTCTTCACACATTTTCTATTTCTAAATTGCTTAATTGAAATGTTGGCATGCGATAGCAGTAGTTTCTACTATACATGTGGTGTTTGTAGCGTTAATATTTCCTTATATTGCCCTTCTTCTGTGTGGAAGGGAGAAAACTTACTTTAGGACTTGCCTGCCATGCTATGCTTTCATAGAGGTTTTCCTTTTAAAAGTTTTGAACTAATAATGATCGTTTATTTTTCCATATTAGTAGTCGTAGTATTACTATAAGAACTTCTTGTTCTTCCATTTATATTACTATTTAATGTTTCCTGCACTTTGATTAGCGTATTATTTATAGTAGTGACTGCTCCTTTATATGTATGCTTAGCGTTTTGTCTTGGCTTCTTCATTCCCATTGTTTCGTTTTTCAAACTTCTTTGTGATGCTGCTTTTACTTGAGCCAAGGGTCTATCGAGAACATCCTCTCTACGCCTAAGGTAAGGCTAATGTTTGTATACATGCATAGCCTTGTTTCCAGATGTGGTATAGACATCTCTGCAGCTGTAAGTGAATTTAAGTCCTGGCTTGAAATTTTCTAGTGATTATTTTCTACGTGGATCGAGTGGCATTATTAATCTCAAAGAGATCTACCTGTTACATTTGTTACTTTTCCACAACTACCTGTTGTTGTTTGTTTGATCATTTGATTTGGTGCTGCATTTATAGTTCAGGTTTTGTTCTGCAGTCAAAGTATATTCCGTCTTATATACAGAAACAATACAGTTCTATGTTGCATAGGCTCTCTCATGTGTACGTAGTGTATATTTGGAGAAACCGACATGGACAAGTTGTTGCATATGATGTTTTTGTGATTTTGGTTATGAAGCTAACAAAGTCTCCTGTGTTTTACAGGGGTACGCGGTGTTTTTGTCAGTCTTAGTTGCCGCGTCTCTACCAAAACGACTTCAGAGGCTTCTGCTGATGTTGCTGTTTCATCTAGGAATAACTTTGTAGGTTTCTTCAATGAGTAATTGCTAGTAAGTTTCAGTTACATTGACAACTTAGTTGTCTCTAGATATTTTTTTTATTAATGGCAATAGCTTTTGGGGTATCTTAATAATTTGTTGGATCTCTAAACTTGAGTTAGATTAGTAGACTAATATGGTTATTTCTGTTTTGATACGTTTCTATATTGAGAAACAATTAAGCTATAAAGAACATCTAAACATCGATTTCTTTGTAAATGTTTATCGACGCATACATTAACTTTGTGCTCTGATTTGCATATATGACTTCATTTACCAAGTTACTCTGTTTATGGTGGAGCTATTTTTTATTTAAGGTTTCGGATACGAACTTTGAGTATGAAATTATTTGTTATTGAAAATGCACCTTCGCAATATAAATTCAGATTAGTTGGATTCCGAATTGATTGTGGACAGCATGAGGGTGGAACAACTTTTTTAACAAAGTTACTAAAGGTCCTTAGTCTCAAAAAGTATTCTTTTCTTATCCTCTCTCTCCTTTTTTATCCTTTAGAATTTTAACTCAGAGATGAGAAAAGAGGTGACCGTACAAGTTTCAAGTTCGAAATTTCTTGCTATCCAAAAGTAAGAGGTTTGTCTTTTGGCTTGAGTTGCGGTTTATTTTTCTAGTATAATTTACGAGCTATTACATAGTTACATGTGAGCATCTAAAGAAATAGCGATCGTTGTTTTCCTTGTCATCATATATAGAAAGGTGGTGATATTATGATATTAATATTTGCTTTGAATATTTCTCTCGGAATTCGGAGCCTAAAGGGTATAAAATATTAACAAAAATTCTAAATCGGTAAATAAAATTTTATATTAACCAAAATGGCAAAATCGCTGGAACAATGGCGATTTCTTCCACCGGAAAAAGCAAAATTGCAGTTAATTTTGCAAAATGTGATTTTTTTTAAAAAAAAATTGAAAAACGCTACCTAGTTTCAATTTTCAATTTGGTTAATATAAAATTTTATATATCGTTTTGAAATTTTTGTTAATATTTTATACATTTTAGGCTCCAGATTCATTTCTGTTGTTCCCTCCACCTTTTGTTTCTTTATTCTCTGCTAGGAATTAAAGGAAATTAATTATTTTTATCCACATTAAATATTTACATCAAATTAATATATTATAAATAATCTTTATAAACATATTCGTTTCTTAACCATAATCATCAAATCATAAATCATAATATGTATAGAGTGCGAATAAATAATTAAACGATAGATGTTTCTATCATATTTCTAAAATTGTGTTGCAGCTTCGTGTTTATTATGGAATAATTTTCTTTTCTTTTAGTAAAAAATATTTCGAGTTTAACTTATGAATACAGAAAATATCCTAGTAATAGAGAGCATTTCTCACGAGGATTAGGTTAAAAGACAAGATTTCTATCATTTGTAGAAAAAGATAAAATAAAAATTTGAATACCTTATTATTAAAAAAATAAAACAATGTCAGATATAAATATTAATAGTTACTCCCTTCCTATAAAACTATGGAGTATGATAAAAATATGATAATATGCCATAACACTTATTAAGTTTGTTTACCCATTGTATGGTTAAAACAAGATATTAATTAATTTAATGTAATCTAAACCTAAATTAATTGAACCAATAATAAATTTTGATAGATAACTACTTGACAAAAGAATGTCTTTATATTATATGAAAAATGTGTATTATAATCTTTTGCTGGTTCATTTGTATTTTATTATTTTGTTGTTAAATTTTATTTTAATATTTATTCCATGAACCCTTTTCTTTTCTTCTCTTCTCTTCTCTAATTTTTTGAATCGGAAAATCTATTGAAAATGATCTATTTATCTCAATAAAATTCCTAAAATTGTACGAAATATGTTATCAGTATTGTTATTGTTATCGTCTTTAATTATCAAAATTTATATATATGTATAACTTTTTGGTATAATTCTTGTATCTCTATAACATTTTAACCCTTTTTTTGTGTGTATGTAGAAGCATCTATCCCTAAAAGATAAGGTTGTACCAAACAAAACTTTAATTACCATCACCAAACTTCATTTTCCACCATTCACTTTCAATATCATATAATTCTTCATAAGTAATTGTTGAGGTACATTTTTGGCTTTTGTATTGGTCTTAAGCACAATTTATCATTAACTAAAGTATATATAACAAGATAGATGAGATTATTTCACGCTTAGTTAAATGTATACGTCCTTTGTAATAAGAAGATACGGATTTCATATGATAACATGAATCTAAATTAATCATGTTAATATGTTATAATTCTTTCTTTACGGATAGTAATTGGAGTTTAAGTTATATACATCATCAGTTTAATAATGTGATTTTACTCCATCAAGTTAATTTTACGTATAATTTTACAAGTGGGATACGTAAAGAATAAAATGCACATAAATCTTATTTCTGTATCGTAAAAATAAAGAGATTGTCTCGATAAACGCTCGAAAAAACACCGCAACAAATATAGAAAGAAAAAAAAAACTCTACCAAATTCTTCTATATTAGGGAGCCACTCTCTCATAATCTTGAAAACTCAACAAATACTCTCTCAAACAACCAAAAAATCTCACCACCACCATCCACCACCATCATGACGGAAAAGGACTGCGGCCACCACGTCGAGGATGAGCGGCACAACCTCCAACGCCGCCTAATCACCGCCTTGATCGTGTTCGTAACCCTAATCCTCTTCACAATCCTCCTCATTTTTCTCATCCTACGTCCAACAAAACCACATTTCATCCTCCAAGACGCGACCGTGTACGCGTTCAACACCTCTACCCCCTTTAATTTCCTCACTACCAACATACAAATCACGATCGCCTCTCGTAACCCTAACGATAAAATTGGAATTTACTACGATAGGCTCGACGTCTACGCCACTTATCGTGGCCAACAAGTTACACTACCAACATTGATGCCACAAACGTACCAAGGTCACAAAGATGTGTCGATATGGTCACCTTTTGTGTATGGTAATAATGTACCAATTGCACCTTACTTAGGTAATGAAATTAGTCAAGATATAATTTTTGGTACAATTTTATTAAATGTTAGAATTGATGGAAGAGTTAGGTGGAAAGTTGGGAATTTTATTTCAAGTAAATATCATTTGGATGTTAATTGTCCTGCTTATGTTGGTATTGGTGGAAAATTTCTTGGGAATAGTGTTGTTGTTGGGAAGTATCAATTGGTGCAAAGTTGTAATGTTGATGTTTGAAGAAGAATTCAAGAATTTCTCATATTTTCCTTCTCTCTCTACAAGACCTTTTTTCTTTCGTGAAATCATCTGATATTTGGTATTCAGTATTATTAGTCTTACTAAATAGAGTAATGCATTTTCGTATCAAAAGTTTTTTCATTTCGAGAGTTCATTTCTAGTTAATTTCGTGTATGCTTAATTATTATGAAGATTCGAATTCGAAACTTCTGAGTTAGGTAAAATGATTTAATTACGGTTTCTTCATTTAGAATGTATGGTTTGTTGATCATACACTTTCCTTTTTAATTTTTGTAATTTATTGGTCTAAAGAGAAAAATGTTTCCTATATCTTATAAGTTTTTCCATTTTAAGAGTGTAAACTCGAAATCTATAATTAACAATCGCGTAGTGTCTAGCTATTAAAAAGGGAACCACTTCTTACTGGTGTGTTTGCCATTTTATAGTTATGAACCCGAAACTTCTATATAAGGTAAAAAAAAATTAACCTCGATTTTTTCATCTAGATTTTATCGTATATCATTTTATTTTATTTTTTCGAGATCATCACCAATTGGTTGTAAGTCACTAATGTGGGGGTTAGACCTGATCCGTGCCATGTCCATTAATTCAGAAAGTGTAATCGGAGGGGAACATGAACCTTACCTCAAACAAGAACCGTGTAGCATACACACTTCCCTTTTTAATACTCTTTCCGTTTAAAAAAAACGTTCCTATTTTCTTTTTAGTATGTTTCAAAAAGAATGTCCTCTTTTTTTTTTTGGCAATTTTTTAACTTTATCTTTCCACGTAGCATGCTTAAAACCACAAGATTAAAGGACATTTTGATACATTTGACAAACTTTAATTTTAAATCACAAGATTACTTAAACTCCGTTTCAAGTCAAACTACTTCATCCTTTTTGAAACGAAGGAGGGAGTATATGTTTTGAATTTTTGTAATTTAAATATTACTGTTTTAGACCTTTAATAAAATAGAAAATAGTGTAAAGTTTTAGTGGGGATTGTTTTATTTTGGTGTTAAATTTTTTTTCTCTCTCTTTTTATTTCTTTGGGTAGTGAATATTTGTAGAATGCATAACCTTTTTATTAGTGATATAAGAAAATGTTCAAAGAATCGAGTTAAAAAGACATCGAATAATTTAATGCACAAAATATTTTAGTCGATTTATTTCGAACCTCGAAAAAAGGATTTACCAAGAAGTGTGATGTAATCTTAAAAAATATTCATGTTTTTCACGAGTTAGATATGGCATGATACTAGGATCTTGTTATAAGGGTGCAAGACATTCACCAACAACTTCCTAGTATCTACAACACTATTTTATGGATTCACACAAAGAATATATATCCTTAATAGATACAAGTGAATCCTTGTTCTAATGTGTATAATAATATTTCGTATTCGTGTAGAATTCGAGAAAAAAAAGTATAGATATAAGCAACCTATGATATATCAATAGTTGATTCCATAAATCTTATCTAAATAGGGGATGTATCATGTACCGAGTTTCAATAAATAGGTTTAACAATAATATATTTTTTTTCTCATTTATTTTTGTTTTTCTTGGTTCGAGTCATGCAAAGAACTTTGGACATGCAACACGTGTCACTAAAGGTAGAGTAGTCTCTAAAACTTCTTTTTGTTTTCGAAACTTAAACTCAAACTCAAAAAAATTAATTTAAAATAAAAGAATCGTATTCATCCAATATCATCATAAAAGAGAGGAAAGGTAAATGTTGATTCCCACTCGTGAAAAAAAGGTGGGTGTGCGCTTTTGAAAAAGCTTTTTATCATCAACATGGTTGAATTTATTTCGATCGTTCGGAATTTCTTCACTCTTAAATTTTAATCAGATGTCTAGGATGACCATTATTTTAAGAAATGAATTTCATAATGCGTCAATTCAAATTCTATCAAACTTCAATACAAATATCAGATATTGAGTGAAAAAAAAATGAAAAAGCTTTTTATTGATTATTACATTAGTCGTAACAAATTGATATAATTTTTCACAACATCTGTTAAATGGTCCATATAAAGAACTACACTTTAAAGGGTGTGACATAGTTCGTATATTCTAATTAATTGTTATTTTTACGACTCAATTTATATAATTAATTTATAAATCATATAAAAAAAATAATTTTATCATTGCTCCAACGTACACTCGAAAAAAAATAATGAATAGAAGCTTTTGTTTTTTTGTGGGCAGAATTGAACAGAAGGATCTGTCTTTGTTATATTCAATGGATGGCTACTTGACAAACACAAGTTTAATACTTGTTAATAATTGAACTGACTCACTTCTCTATTAGAAGAAAAAAATAAAAAAATATAAGCAATTAGTATTTTTCTAAAATTAAAAAAGAAAAAGGGTAAAGTAAAAAATTAATAAATACATTTATAACGATCGGATTTGTTTTTTCGAATAATTCATTATTTTGCTATAAAAAGTTTCTAAAAAAATATTAAAATCCTAGACATTATTGTTTACGGAAATAAAAAATATTTTGAAGGTGTGAGGGTATATAGTTTGTTTTTTCTTTTTTTATTTAGTAACGGAAAAAAGTTGGATAAGAATACATCGGAGAAGCAGAAGTCTTCAGCAAACGTGACTTCTAGCATATTCAATTGAGAAGAAATATATTTCAACAAATAATATTTTTATATCAAATTATATGAAAAAGAACTATCAAATTAAAAGATCTTTCGTAATGCTAAACTCAATTACCGAACAAGTCTGCAATAGAATTTTTGGCGTTTCGAAGAATAACTATTACGAAGAGATGACTTGATTTTTGTGTGATCTATTATTTTTCTCATAAATTTAAATAGACGGATGAAAATGGTTCATTTTTAAATACTTGACTGGTGTTTTCTGCTAAAAATGATACTTAACCAAAAACTCCAGCTTTGACATCGACACGATGAAATATCTCATCAAGTAATTCTTTAGATAAATTTGTTTTTCATACATTTGAATTTTGTTTGTATTATCTAGTATATAGACAAATAAATATGACACAAAATATATATTTGGAGTGTTTTATGTCATAATTAATTAATAGCAATGAGGACTTCTAGTCTCAAACAATTAGGTGTCGACTATATAAATCTTCAAGATTATACTTTTTTAACTCAAAAAACTTTATTTGAGAAATAATATTATGCAAAATTATCTTGAAAAAAATCTAAGACTAGATCAAGCAGTTTGAAAACTAAAGGTAGCAAAATGTATCATTCCTTCAAAAAATAATTATTCATGAGTAATCTTTTATAAATCGTGGTGTTTACATAAATTTTAATCGATAAAAAAAGATTGTTTTCGAAAAACTCAAAAAATTGTATTTGGGCTGTCCAATGAATTTCTTAAGAGATTGGATTAATGGGTTGGACCACGTAACATAAAATAATAGTTCAAACTCTAGAATATTTTTCTCTATTTTCACTCGCAAAGTTATCGTTTAATATGTGAAATGAGATAAATGATAATACTTTTTTACTTGAACAAAACATCATTTGTTGTTATTTTTTATCTTATATTCTAAAGTTCAAGGAAAAGAACTACACAAAAGCTGAAGTCTTTCAAGCACTTTTCACCTAACTATACTGTTCAGACTCTTAAAAAAACGTCGACTAGAACATAGCACATCCAACACTTAACCTTGCTCGTACTCTTTGAAAAAGCATTCGAGCAACATAACCTGATAACGTTTTTAGAGATTCTGAGCAACATCGTTCTCATTACTCATTAGCACACTTGATGCCTGAACCCAAACATGTCATTTTTGAGATCAAACTCGAGAAAAAAGTTCTGCATTTGAAAATTTCCAAGAATTATCGATGGTCCAGTAGACGATTCGAGCCTAAAATCACTCACCAATGTCAAACAAATCACATCATTTTCACCAACAATAGAGAAGTAATTTACCAATGGCAATACCATCTCTGATCCTCCTTTGAAATGAAACTTCATCTCTGGCAGTGACACTGTTTTATGCCCTGAAACATTGAAACATGGCTTTAAATTTGTCAATCTTTCGATTTTCTCAGTTCTTGAGAACCGCTTTACCTGGTTCACAAATGCATTCATCACAGACACAAATATATCATGATTCAAGAAAGTGAACGTCGTGCCTGAATCCACAATCGTTCCACCGTTCCCTAATGAATTCGGTGCCAGATATCGATATGGTACCTTCACTATCTGATCGCCAACTGTGATTTCTGTCAATTCAACATAGTAGTACCCTGCTAATGCATTTGTTCCAACAACAAATGGAGGTCTTAGCAATGGGGTACGGGTTAAATTTTTCGACTTTTCATATACAGTATCCAAAACAAGCATGCTACTTTTAGGAATATCATCAAACATATGAGATACAAGACAATAAGACAGTTTCTTGGCTCTTAATTGGTTTGGCAATGATGACATTCCCCTCCCAAACCCCGCGATTCCCGCGGGTTGTTGAGAGGAGAGTAAAGAACAACCAACAAGGAAATTGGGTGTTTTCTTGTTTGGTAAGTTCAGTGTTTCAACTAGGCCAATTCCAGCTGTGGAACCTGAACCATAAAGAATCATATAAGGTGGACAAGCATGTTTACAGTTTGTTCTATTACGCGATTCGCAAGCATGGCAAAGAGATTCGGGCTGTTTTTTTGGGTGAATCCAACTGCATTTTGGGTTCAAACATCCAAGAACTCTAGCTGAAGATGACAATCTTGGAATAAAAGTTGGATTTTTTTGTGAAGAAACAGGACATTTTGAGCATTGGTACTTTTTAGTACATGGGAACCAAACAAAGCTACTACCAGTGTCCATTACAAATGGGATTTTTTGAGGAGGAGTACCAAATGGAAGAGTAATTGAGTAGCCTCCATAGCTATGAGGATATAAAGGGATGTTGGAAATTGAAGAATCTTGAGGATTCTTGATATGATGAGCTCTAGCTAAAGAGAAAGAAGCTAAATGAGTGAGTTTTTGGTAGAAATCTTGGTTTGTGTTGGTGTTGAGAAATGAAAGAGGGATTGTTGTGGAGGATTTTGATGAAGAAATGAAGGGAAAGAGGAAAGAAATGATAGAGAGGAAAAGGAGTAAAGAAGAAGAAGCCATGGTTCTTGGGAACTTTGGAGATAATAGTATGTTGAAGGAAGTTAAGAGTGTCTTAAATATCAAACGGTTTTCGTGGTGGGGTGATAAGTACTTTATTAGAGGTTTCAGGTTCGAGATTTGAGAATGAAATCGTTTTAAGCAAGGAGTCCTTTTCTCCAAAATGAGACTTATTTGGCGCCACTCTTAGTTTAGTCAGGCTCCAATGAGACACCAAGTGAAAAAAACTAAAAAGAGAAATTGAATGTCTTTCCCATAAAAGATGGTTGTGGCATGTGATTCAACAATCAACAATCAACAATTAATAATCAACAAACTTCCAAAGAAATTTATATTTTGCACCGCAAATTTAAATGATAAAGGAACGGTGGAGTTTCATAAAATCCAAAAAACCTTGCTGCAACACATTTTTGTTTTGGATACTAACCATTACACAAGCATTTGTTTGCTACTATATATATATATATATATATATATATATATATATATATATATATATATATATATATATATATATATATATATATATATATATGTATATATGCACCCAAGTTTCAGTGCAACCATAGAAGATGACAAGACTATGTATATATATATATATACATATATATATATATATATGTATATATGCACCCAAGTTTCAGTGCAACCATAGAAGATGACAAGACTATGTATATATATACACATATATATATATATGTATATATGCACCCAAGTTTCAGTGCAACCATAGAAGATGACAAGACTATGGGATGCTATGCAAAAGGGATAGGTACAACTAGGGGTGCAGTACAATGGTCAATGAAATGGATCGAGAAATCTATAATTTCTATAGCCTATGAGTCATGAATTTGAAATGGATTTTGTGAACCCAACCAATATTTAATAGACTTGTATGAAAATGTGATTATAGGATAAACATATAGCCCTCATTTTTTCTGCTCCAACATTAATGTATAAACTGCCATTCAATAGTGAGAAAATTCACAAAATAAATCACTTTTCAGCCCCAATAAATGAAAAAATAGTTATTATCTTTTAGTTTCAAAGTCAATTTGGAATATTTCATGATAATATCTGAGGGTTCCAGTTTCTAGAATTTTAAAAATCATTACAATAGCTATTATTCAAAAGCGGGAACCAAAAAGTGACTTGTGGGCACTATTTCTACTTTTAAGACAACAACGATAAACCCAATTTAATCCCACAAGTGGACAGGAGAGTTAAGATGTTTATGCAACCTCACCCCAACCTTTACGGGATAGAGAGGCGATTTCTGGTTGATCCTTGACAACCCTACTCCATTATCCAGAAGTTTTCAAAAACAAGGAAGCTATGCAGCTTTGATCAGAGCCCTGTTCAATAGAAAGTAAGAAAATGTGCATTCAAACGTCGGAAATCATGAAAAAGATTGTTACAACAATGTGAGTGTGTGTATATAACAGGAGTAAATCTTAATCGTAGAAAGATAAGATATCAGCTTCAACCAAAAGAACAAGAGCAGCAGCTGGAACCTTATTGTTCCTTCGCCTTCTTCCTAGCCAAGAACCGTTCCTTAGCTGCAGCAACAGCGTCCAGACTTCTTTTATGATGGTCAACTTTTGGTTGATCACTTGCCGCAGGTTCAGTGGTAGTAGTTGGTACATTGTCGGAAGTTAGTTTTTCAGCCCTCTTTTCAGACAAACCAGCTGAAGGAGGTTTCATATCTGCGGCTCCATCAGTCCTTTCCTTACAAGGAGGAGAAACAGAAGGTTCATGATCTTGTGTCTTTATCTCCCTAGACATGTGTGAATGTACATCCGCTGATGATGAAGGGTTTTCTTCTGTCTGAACTGCTTCTGGTTCATGATGATTCACAGCCTTCTTGGACTTGCCCTCGCCTCCAAAGGCAACATTTTTCTGAAGACTGAAGTAAAAATCACTGATGTCGGTCTTCTTAGTAACCTGTCAATATATTTCACATTATTAGAACATAAAAGGATTACGTGCTGACAGGGTCACTTTCAGATCAAATAGAAAAACTAATGCATGCAACAGACAACCATAGCTTCTTTCTATTTTCCACAAACTGATTAACAGCGTCAACTGACACAGTATTTCTGTTTAGTGGTGATTATCTCTTGTGAAATGATCGGTGTTAAACCAACAAGGAAAGTAAGATCACAAGCTTATGCCCATAAATTAAGTATAATTAGCAGTTCTAGTCTTTCCTTTTGACATTATTAGTCGTATGGTGGCTTCAGTACTTCTGCTCAGGGATAACTAGAGCAGTTGAAACTGTCCGCATCTGAGATATAGATGCTTTGGTATGAAGAAAACGTCCTCCAGTATTAGATAAATTTTACTACTGCATTTAGTCTGACAAAATTGGAACTTATAAAACTGTTTTTGGACCTGCAATTCAGATATCAGGTGCTAGTTTAAAAGACACAAACACAGCCCACTTATCACACTGTATGAAGTAATTATCTAAAATTTGGGAATGTTTTTAAGAATTATCCGAAAATGTTCTCTAAAAAATAATATACTCCAAAACGGACCCTTACTATTGATAAAGTAATTTTCTCTCATTCAGTTATATTATACCTTCATACGAGTTTCAATATCACTATTGAGATTTTAGTACGTGAGGCCAAACTTTTCAAATGAGCTTGACAATCATCAATGACTTTTATGCAGAAATTAACTTAAGATCTTGCTAGAACATGCTCGGTCATCAGGTGGTTATGATGTAAAACTAAATTATGACTATCCATAATTTTTACATAAATACCTTGAGTATAAAGATAAGCAAGCAAAGAACAAAAGAGAAATGAGAAGATTTCACTTACATCATCTCTCTCCTCTCGTAGCTCACGAAGACGCTCTTCCTCCAACCACTTAGCCTGCTCTTGAAGTTTCCTTTTATAAGCAGCAGTGACGAACTTGTCTTTGTCTGCAAAAAGATGATCATCTTTACTCCTCTCTTTTGCTATTTTCCTCTCATAAATGACCTCATGCTCCCGTTCTCGTTGTTTTGCCTTCTCCATTAGCATCTGGATATACTTTGGCTGGAACAAGCATAACAGTTCAAAAATGTGCAAAAATTGTGGAAGTAATTTTCATTTCCTTCAAGTAAAAAGTGCAGATATTAATGCTATCATCTCATGCAGAAAGAGTAATAAGTAATAACACGTTCTAGATATTATTGAAAAGGAAGAAATAAATAAGGAAAGTTGCAATAATATATGGCGCCAGTTTCGCAGGAAAAAAATTTGAGGAAAGAGAACTACTGTGCATATTTCAAGAGACCTTCAGGAAGAAGATAATGCAACCAGACAAAAGCAGATTAGTATAATCACTGCGAAAAGAGAGCTATCTCCTATTTATTTTTTTTGTAGCATAAATCGATCAGGAAAAAAAACAAATTCCTTAATTTTAGTTTCTCTAATGTAAAAGAAACTTTACCTCAGTATGAAAATAGTTAAAAGAGCAGCTTACTTGGCCCTTGAATTAAGCATAACAAATCAAAGAATGAGACTCTCAAAAATTAACAGTTGCAGAATCTACCCATAATTCGTTTCACTCGGAAAATGCTCCTATCCTAACATCTTACTGACAAAGCCACCATAACATATCGGTCTCAGGTTCAAGAGCTGAATCAGGATATATCTTCTTTTTTTAAAGAAGTGAGGTATTTTATTAAAAAGCATCAAGCAGAAGCAGAATTACAGAATAGACAAAAGGGCTCACAGAGAGCATAAGCAAAAGCTGTCAGCTCCTTTACAATCTTCAAACTAGTACAAGAGAGCTAACAAAGTCAAGAAATAGTCCAGTACTAAATACAGGGGTTAAATAACCCAACTGAACTGCATAAATTTAAACAATTAGCTTTAAACAAGGTAAAAAGTAACGTCCCAAAATCCAAATTCACTTATAGTCTACCACAACAGAAGTTTTTATACAAATTACTTCAACCAAGTGATTCATGGCTAAAAGGTCTGTTAGCCTACTCAGCATAGCAAGTGATTCCCGGCTAAAAGGTCTGTTAGCCTACTCAGCATAGCAACTACTTTCACATGGTTTTAACAATTAATTGCAGAAACAATCATGAGTATCCCCTCCAAACTTTTGAAATGTTTTCATTTATTTTGCTTCATCAAATCACACTGAATATCTAAATATAAACTGGAAAAAATGCAACGTAAAACAATACCTTCCTCTCTTCGCGATCCTGAGCTCGAGGTTGGACAGCCTTCACTTTCATATCATCATACACTCCATCATAATCAAATACTGAAGGGTCCTCTTCTAAAGCCTTCTTATGCTGTTCTTCAATCTGCCCAAAAAAAATGGAGTTACACCCCTAGTTAGTCACTTCCCCTTCTTGAGTCATAACCCGTTTGCTTTTTCTTGGGACAAACAAAATCAGTATAAAAGGTTCAGGACAATGTATAGCAACCTAGTAGTCAATGAAGTGAGTTGAGACTAGGCACTAGGCGATTCCTTCTCATAAGCACCTGGGACAAAGTTTTCAGTAGCAGGTGCTCCATGAAGTTAGTCAAGGTGCACACAAGCTAAGCCCGGACACCAACAACATACCCAGTAAAATCCCACAAGTGAGGTCTGGATAGGGTAGAATGTATACGCAGACCTTACCACTACCTTGTGGAGGTAGAGAGGCTCTTTTCGAAAGACCCTCGGCTCAAGTGCAATAAATCCCGATATAACGAAGAAAGAGCCAATGAAGAATATAGCAAATAACAAGGAAACAATGCATAAGTTCACCAGAGAGGAGCCAAAACAACAATAAAATCATGTGATATATGAAACACCATAAAAACATACTAATTACTAAGATAGATTAATAAAAAAGCAAATAACAAACAATGATAAAACTACAGTAATAGGACTATCATGCCAAACACCAGCCACCCTAAAAAAAACAAATGTGAAATTTGAAATAACAGATAAATCTAAAGCTTAGTAGCAGGTACAGCGTGGAATTGGAATTAGTCAAGTTGCACACAAGCTACCACAAACACCATGATTATCAGAAAACTTTCAGAAGAATTTATAAAAAAAAATGGGAAATTGTGAGATAAGAGCTACAGCTTACATCTTTGAGAGCCTTATTCTTCGAGGCATGACGAGAAATCTCTTTCTCAACATCATCATCATCACCATCCCCAAAACCAAGTGCTTTAGGAGGCGGAGGCCTCGCCGGCTGTTTCTTCTTCTGCTGCGATGGTGGAACTCTTAATTGTAAACCATATCCCGATTTTTTCATGATTCACTATCAACTTCAAAATCTTCAGGTGCTATCATATGAAACACAATAGCAATACAGATACGATAAATTTTCTATATATTAATTTGAATTTACAAGTTTAAAGCTTGTTTTTGATTACTTACAGTACAGGTCCTTTGATTTGTAGCTGACGCTACCAAACCCTAAAACACTGCGGCAAGTTTTGTTCTCGATCAACAGTACAAAATTAGAGCCGTCGGAAGAAAGCGGTGGTCCCGCGGCAGAGACGCGGTGGCGGAATGCAGTACCGGCGACGATAGTGAACTGGGCCGGTTTGGATCCAATGAGCTCACTGGTTTCTTATTTATGTATATAAGAAAATTCAATTTCTTAAAATGAGAATAGATAATAGAAAATACTTTTACATTATTAGATAACAATGAAAAGACCGATTTTATGTAACACTATCGTTAGGTAACAATTAAAAGATCGACTGATTTAATGTAACACTAATTCGGTGTGATAGTGTGTACCTACATGATATTAAAATACAATAATAATATTATAAGAAAATTGCATGTAAGAGTTGGAAACCTAAATAAGCCACAAAAGTGTAAAAATGACCAAAATAAGTCTCTATTTTAGTTAGAAACTAAAATAAGCTTAGTGGAAAAAAAAGTTTCACTTTATCTAATTTTTTAAACGTTTTCCGTTAGTGTCATAACGTTTATTTTTAATATATAACGAAATTTTTTCTTACACTTTATAAAGTGTAAGTAAAAATTACACTTCATAAAGTGGAATTTTTTCTTCCACTTTATAAAGTGGAACTTTTTCTTCCACTTCATAAAGAGGAACTTTTTCTTCCACTTTATAAAGTGGAGCTTTTTCTTTCACTTTCTAAAATGGAACTTTTTATTACAGTTTATAAGAGAAATATTTTTCACGTTTCGAAAAAGCTTTTTCAGTGTTGTCATACAATTATGTTGATTTGACATGTTATAAAAGGGGAAAAAAATATTACACTATGTATTTTTATTTTTTTATTCTGAAAAAATTTTCAATCTCTATTTAAGGTCGTTTAAAATGATTGAAATCACCTACAACAAAAAATCTTCTATATTTTGTTCATTCAATCTCAAAAAAAAATGTCTTCTACGCCTAAAGTTAAAGTTTCAATTTATTGGGATGGAGAAATTATACATGACGGAAATACCGTTTAGTATAATTGTCCTTCCAAACACAATGCTAAATATCCAATTAATGTTCGATATCATAAATTCATTTCATCAATTTATAAAAGAATGAGTATAAACAGTACTGATTATAATTTGATTATAGTCAGAAAATACCCTACTTCATTTTTATCACAAGGACAAGTTAATTTTGGAGAGTGGATTATCTATAATGACGAATCGTTGACCGAATTTTTGAGGGTTCCAAATGACTACATAGATCAAATCAAGTTAACAGTACTTGAAATCTATGTTAGGAAGGAGCCTAAGATTAGTCAACAACGTTCTCATTTATCAGTCGATGTCAATCCCTAATTAGAAAATCGTAATAGCGTTGATGAATTTCCAATAACTCAATCTGTTGATTTTCCTAACATGACTCATTATCAAAATATTCTTACTAGTCGATATGATTTTGATTTAAATGAAACTATCAATGAAAGTGATCGGTAATGCTCAATAATTATATTTCAATCATTATTTGTTGATTTTGTCGATTATTTATTATTTTATATGATTTATTTTTCTTATTATTATATATTTTGTAGCGGTTTACCTCAGCAAGATAGGAATATTGCTCCAAGTTATGGATTAGATAATTATTTTGGTCAGTCATCACACTTTGAAATGACGGAAAATGTTGGGACATCCTCAAATTTTCATGTCTCGCCTACTTTTGGTGCAGATGATTTTCAGTATGTTCAACGTTTGATTTTTTTATTTAAGTAAGTAAATTGCATGAGCGAAATATTTCTACTTTTTTACATATATAGGGAAAACATTACACAAAATGAACCCATTGATCCTGTGAATATCGATGATCGTGACCTTCCTAATTATGGCTCACCTTCAGCTAGTGATAGTGATGATTTGCCTAATGCTGAGGAATCAGGAGATAATGTTCCATTTGAGGCATCATCTAGTGATGATGATTTTTCGACTCTCAATCGATCGCCAAGACCAATGTCCATGAGCCCGTTTCATAATCATGAAATTCCTTATCTTGATCATCTCCTGAATGGTTCAGATATCTTTGGTGATACATATGATGAGTATACATCACAACGTACGTGGCATGAACCAAAAGATTTCATGAATGGTGCTATTTATATTGAAAAAGGCATGTTATTCAATTCAAAGAAGCAGTTGCAAAGAGCAGTTAAACTTCTACATTTGAAAGTAGCAAGGGAGTACTTTGTTATTAAATCGACAAAAAAATCATGGCGACTTGTTTGCAGGCGTGTAGAACAAGGATGCCGATTTAGGTTGACTTCTTTTATTGATAAACATACTAACATGTGGAAAGTTGGAAGATACATTGAAGAACATACATGTGATATGGGTACATGTCGCGAAGGACATTTCAACTTGGATGTTGAGATGATTGCTAACGTCCTCCGTGTTGATATAGAAAGAATGCCAAGGTACTATTTTATCTTTAGATGATTCCTATTTAATAAGAAAATATTCATTTTTATTTGATAATTAATATTATTATTACTTTTCAGGTTTCCCATCAAAGACTGTCAAACAGCCGTTCTTAAAGCATATGGCATTTCGATAAGTAGAAGAAAAGTCTATCTTGGTCGCAAGCGGGCTTTTTAAAAAGTCTATGGTACTTGGGAGAGTTCTTTTGCCGAGTTACCGAGGTTCATGGAAGCTTTGAAACACTTCAATCCTGGAACAATATTAGAATGGAAAACAGAGCGGCGTGTCGATGTTATTGAACATGTATTCAACTATGTGTTTTGGGCTTTTAAACCATGCATTGATGGGTTTGTGCATTGTCGTCCTGTTATATCGATCGATGGAACACATGTCTATGGAAAATATGATATCAAGTTGTTGATTGCGATTACAATAGATGGTAACGGCTCTATATTACCTTTGGCATTTGCAATAGTTGCAAATGAGAGCATAGAGATATGGACTTTATTTTTGGATCATTTGCATTTGCACGTTGTCAAGGGTCGTAGAGGGGTCACATTGATATCAGATAGGCATCACGGAATACTCTCATCCGTGTATAATTCTCCGAATTGGCAGGCTCCATTTGGGTTTCATCGTTTTTGTTTAAGACATTTGAAGGCCAATTTTCAAAAAAAATTCAAAAATATCACTTTGAACAACCTATTATGGGCAGCTGCAAATCACTGTCAGGAGAAATTTTTTTTGGAAAAAATGGAAATGATCAAGGAGATTAATGCGGAAGCATATGTGTGGCTAATGAAGAACGATCTTGACAAATGGACATTGCACAGGGATGGAGGTAAGAGATGGGGCATGCTGACCACAAATAGTTCTGAATCATTCAATGGTCTTCTCAAATCAGCAAGGGGTCTGTCAGTTACTGCAATGGTAAAACTCACTTACAATCAAGTTGTGAATCGATTTGTTACAAGATCAAAATTTGTTAATCATCTAGTACAGGAAAAGCAACAATGGATGCCTAAACCATTCAAGATTTTTGAGGATAATCGAAAAAAGTCACAACGTCACACACTGATCAACTATCACCAACAAAGGGAAAACATATTTGAGGTGCAAACACATATGCATCATGGTCGTGGTGGTAATAAGCACATTGTAAATGCATCACAAGGAAAATGTCAATGTGGTAAATGGCAATCATACCATATTCCATGTTCTCATGCAATAAAGGGATTTGATCAAATTGGATATCAAGCATGGGAGCATATGACACCAGAATTCACTGTGCGTAGCTACAAAAATGCCTACTTTGGACAATTCAATCCACTCGGCGGTGAAAAGTATTGGCCTGATAGTCCCTTCCTTATGATAGCAAATAAAAATTATTTACGAAAAGTGGGCGTAAATAAAACCACCCGTATACAAAATGAAATGGATGTTCCTAGAAGTACACTCACTCGCAAGTGCTCAACGTGCAAACAAATAGGCCATGATAAGCGCAACTGTCATTCACGAACTCGAAACGCCTCATATGGTGGTAGTAGGTAGAGAAAGATGTTTAATTGTGTAAATTTAATAACAGATTGTATTAAATAAATAGTATTAAATAATATTAGTATTTACTGTGTACTAATCCTAGTCCTATCAGGATTAGTACTCCTTAATCCTAGTCCTATTAGGATTAGTTTTCCTTCCTATATCCCCTATATATATCTCCCATGTATTCCTTTATTAGGTTAACACTTCAATACAATCAATATTCTTTCATGGTATTCTTGTATCAATTTTTATGCAACTTTTTGTTCGAACTTTTGATCATCTTCAAGTCATGTTTAAATTTTAAAAAAAATTTATTCACTTTTTAAAAGAAAATAATGCATACACAAAATAATAATAATAATATATATAACTAAACCAATAATACTATACACCACAAAAAAAAAGATACATACACCAAAATAAAACTATATATGATTAGAATAATTACTATATACCCTCAAAAAAAGATTCATACACAAATATAATAATATTATGTTCCACAACCCTTTTTTGAAATCCGTAAAACATCTCGCGGTCTAAGTCCCGTATATCCATCTTCATCTTCATTGTTCCTCTTCCTCTTTTTGGCCGGAAGATCCTTTATGTTCATATTCTTTACAATTCTTTTAACAAGTTTTTTTCTTCCGGGTGTTTGCGGCATATCATCCACTGGCATAATGAACGTAACATCTGGAGACGAGAGTGGTGATAAGGTGGTCTGCAAATACAAAGTTAGATAGTAAACATTAAAAAATAAAAGTATAAATGATAGGAATATGCAATGTGGTGCAAAATAAAAGTCAACAATGAGGCAGTGTATGTAAAATTTCATTGTACGGTGTCCATCGAAACTATTTTTAAAATATAACAATTAAATAAAATCAACATTAACTGATTAGTAATGATAGGTTTGCAAATAACATAATAATTAATAATAAATAACTTTTCGTGAATTTATAACATGAAATAAGCAACACAAAGTTTGGCTAGCTTAATGCTGCAATTTTATTTATTTATTTTAAATAAAATAAAATAGTAAAACTATTTATAGTCCAATTCATGTGGACTACTAGAGTCAGCAAAATATCATTTTTTGTTGTATATTTATTATTATATGTGTATTATTTTATTTAATATTTAGCAATCATATATAATGAAATTTATTTTATGTACCTGATCCTCCGTCATGCGGTCTAACTGGTCTCTAATCGGGATAAGAACATGATGTGACTCGGTATCCCTATCAATTTCACGCGTCCAACGCCTAGCATATGGAAGTAACATGTCACCATCATGTTGAGGAGGAGCTGATGGTTGTACAGGCAAGATCCTCTCCCAACACCAAACCTTGATGTGACAAACAAAATAATTAAATTATCATCATTAACAAAAAAAAATAGATAATCACATATATATATTTTTATCTCTGTAGGAAAATGTATGTGAATCTTTTTTTAAAACTATGTAGGTTTTATAATAATTATTCATATTTATTATGAAGTAAGTTTCAACCTTTGGTTGGACCCTTTTTTTAAAACTATGTAGTTTTTCTAATAGAATAACATTGTGTGTTTTATCAATGCAAGTTTCTATCGAAAGAAGCAGGCAAAGAAAATAAACTATTTGTATGTAATTTAAATATTTAAAAAAATTGAATATAGAAAAAATATTCTTGTACGGTATAATGTTAAAGATTTTTACATTTGAATAAATCCGCAAATGTCAATCACATTACCGATAGATGCTCGACAAAGTGCACGGTACAAGTAGGCTAGCACTGCACTGCCCCAACTGTACTTACCTACATCGTGGATAGGATCTAGGAATGCCAAGTATTGTAAACTAATAAGGTTTCCTGAAGTGTTCGGAAATAGGATGCCCCCTAATATAACAAGCATGTAAAGTCTAGCAATCCTCTCCACTCGTTCCACTGGAGTAGCATCTCTTATCGGATCTACTTGTAACTGATCTCGCAAGTAGCTGGTAATGCTATGTATCCTCACCCGACTCGCACCATCCATATCAGTAGGTGCTATGGTACATTCTGTGAGTGTCTCTAATAAAGTACGCCATGGACGAATTCTCCGGGTAGCATCCTAAATGTACACAGCATAACCATTGATGCGCAAACCAAACAAGACCTGCACATCCTGCAATGTAATCGTGACCTCACCAAAAGGTAAGTGGAAGCAATGAGTCTCTGGCATCCAACACTCAACCATAGTTGTAACAAGGGCACGATCATACTGCATCCTGCCCACACAAACTACATCATACAGTCCAGACTTACGTAAGATCTCCTCAACACGTTCATGAGGTCGGTGCAAACGAAATAAATTCCAGGCATCATTCATGTGCACCGTCCTCATAAGGTTACTATATGGTATCTCACCTTTCCATAACAATTCTGATTTATGCTCATGCTGAGAGAGAAGAAGTGTACGATCAATCGGTCCAGGATTCACAACACGCTCCATTATATACTGTAAGAAAAATTATATTAATTCGTGTAATTATATTTTGACATATTAATGCCTAGACAGTTCTGCTCTTTATTTACTTTTATAGTTTTGTTGGACCTCTACGGTAAAAGTGAAATTCTATATTATACCTCTTATTATTTGTCGAGGTTTCTCAGCGAGGTTTTAGCTTTTGAATTGTGAAGGGGAGTAAAAGAAAAAAATACTAATTGAGTAAGTAGTGAGAACATATATGATGATCGAGAATATTTTAACTAAATAATGTTTAAAATTCTTAGTTATTAACTATGAGATAATCATGAAGAATGCTTCCTATTATTAATCAAAATCTAACAAAGAATAACGATATAACTCTCTTGGCTTTCAGCTCAAGTTGGTGAAATAACTTGAGTCTGCTAACTCCAAAAGAAATTACTAAAACAAAATCACAGAAATAGTAATTATCCTCATTTAGAAAGAGGGAAAATAAGTGTTATCATTCCAATTAGAAATCTAAATTAGTTATTTGCATTTATTTGCGATCAATTGAGCACTATTAGCTGACTAGATATCAAGAACATAATCGATATGAAAATTAGTCATTATGATATTTTTTTGTTTGAATAATGAAGCGAGATGAACAATGAAGATTAATGATATAGCCGATCCAACTTGCTTGATTTTGAAGTATGGCAGGAGTTATTGTTGTATGAAACCTCTATATTTTAGTATAGTATTCCAATCGAAGCATAACGGAGATTGAGATAACATATACTACAAAGTCGAACCTATATATTTTAGTATAGTATCCACATGTGCAAGTTTTCAGCTGGCATGTGATGCTGCATCAGAAAAGGGGTAGAGAAATGCGCGCTTTAATGTTCATATGTGTGCCTACTAAGCTTCTCTTGTTTCTAAACAATTTTTTTGTTTTTTTTTAAAAAAAAAAAATTAAGCAAACAATCCCTTGCCGGTAAATGAAGCAGCTTCTCGCCGGAAAATAAAGCATCTTACAAACCTCGCCGGAAAATGAAGCAGCTTCTCGCCGGAAAATATTTCAAGAACATTAAAAAAAATATATATCATTCTAAAAAATGTTTAATGTTCCACTAACAAGCAGAAATTAAGAGAATGCTAAATCAAAAATACTATACTAACACAAGATGAGATAAATGAAACACATTTTAAATAAAGAAAATATGAGATGTTAAAGAAATACCTAATTTATATAATTTGTAGGGACAAATTGTTATGTTGTCGGGTTGTGCTACTCCGAATTTTTGATTTATTTATTGTGGGGCCGCTTCATTTGTCGGATTGGGACCATCAATGTTCATCTTCAAGTAACATAAAAGCCATTAAAGTGAAAGAAAGAAGGAGAAGGTGAAAAGATGAAAGTAATTTTCTATAAAGTAACTTTTTCTTTCACTTTATAAAGTGGAAGAAAAAGTTTCGTTATACATTAAAATACACGTTGACACTAACGGAAAACGTTTAGAAAATTTGATAAAGTGGAACTTTTTTTTCCACTAAGCTTATTTTAGTTACTAACTAAAATAGTGGCTTATTTTGGTCATTTTTATATTTTGGTGGCTTATTTTGGTTCTCAACTCTGCATGTAATGACAAATTAATAAATTAAAAAATGTTATCCACTCATTTAATTTTGCCTTGTAGCAAATTGTTTGTCAGTCACCACTCTTCCTCGAACTTTAGCTCGCCACTTTCCCTCTCTCGCTCGCTTCCTCTCACTTTTATACAAAAACAAGTATATAAAATGTGTTTCTGTTTGTATAAAGTGAGAAAAAATTGTATAATATACATATATTTTCGTTCCCCTCTCCCAAATTTCGCTCGTCACTCTCGCTTATAAAAACAGAGACGAATTGTATAAATACGTTTCTGTTCGTATAAAGTGAGAAAATTATATATATATATCTTCGTCCTATACATTTCTAATTATACAATAAAAATATTCTCCTGCCCGATTTTCTTTTGTCTTTCTCTCTTTCTCGTTTTATACATATACAAATTATACAATTGATTTGTATACAACTACTTTCTTTTGTATATGTATAACGTCATCTCTTGAGTTATATGGATATAGTTAAAGGACTCAAGTTTGATGGATCCGAGCTATGAAAATATTTATAAATTATTTTATGCATGATTGGATATAGAATACGTAGTACCTAAACAATTTATAATTTATGAATAATTAATACCTATATACAATAATACACAATCGGATTAAAACTTCTCTTCTTCTTTTTTCCCACAATTGATTTCTTTGTATATATATAGCGAATAACACATACTTATATTTGCTATGGAACGCAATCATACAAACTTTACTATAACATACAAATATAAATTTTGTGTTTGCTATACGTAAAAGTTGCTCTATATATATATTGACTAGCCACTGGTGAAACTAACAGATGATCTCCACATTATACATAGTTTTCTATATGATCAATCTTTCCTCCAACCTCCATATGCAATTGTAGGAAGCACTTTTACCCCGAACAATTTTAGTCGGGCTCCAGTGTGGATATCGTATAGGAAAACCAAACACACAAAAAAAGATGTATCATTCATCCAAACTCATTGTATTTCAATGCATCTAGTTATTCAAATCATCAGAGATGGAAAATGGTAGTCTAGAAAGCACACATCTAGAATCAACACTCAATTTCGAGCCCCAACTGGCTGTGGAAGGGCGAAAAAGGCGTGATCAAAAGGAAAAACAAAAAACTGGAAGGAACTCCTGGCTCGAAAGCCCCCCGTCGTCCTCCCTACTACTACAACTGACTCTTACTTGGTGTTAACCAAATATGCATCCCAACCTTGAAGCCGGTATTCACGAGCTGCTTCTGCAGGGTTAGCAGCCTTTATAATTCCACGGCCAACAATAATAATGTCACTGCCTCTATCACCAATTACCTGAAACAACAATTTTCTCACAGTGAACAGCTAGCTAATACAATTCTATCTATGTCGCGTTAAAACTAGAGCAGTTCTAATAAAACCAGCTTGAAGGTCTACAATTTCCTTATTCGTACTGATAAAGCTGCAGTTGAGGCAACTGCAGGTGCAAGTTGTTGTTCTTGCAACAAGCAGGGCGTCTTGCCACACAATCACAAATGTCAATCTGCTGGCTCATCCATGATACCAAATTATATATCAAGAAAGGGCAGTTGGTCATATAAAAATGAGAAGGAAAAATAAAAGGAATGGACAAACTATTCAGCTCTTCTGACAAACTTACAGAACTTATATTCCATTTTAATTTTTAATTCTTTGATAACTATGGTATCCGGGCCAGCATGCGCTAACCTAATAATTTCGTAATAGACCATCTAATTCAATGTAAGGTATGAAGACTGAAATGTAAGAAATGAAAAATAAGACGCGGTAGCAAATGTGACTTACTGAATTTGGAGTGTTATATTGTTGGCCTAGGGCATCTCCTCCTTTTACCAATTGAACACCAGGTGTAGCGTGGATGAAGGATGGGTTTCCAGGTCCATTGGGCCATGAAGCAGGATTCACAGAGATGAACCCAATGACAAAATCCGAGTGATCCTCGGCAATTTTTACTGCTGCTGCTGTGTAATCCCCTGTGGCTAGGTTACCCGCAGAACTCATTTCAGCAAGAAGCAGCAGGCCCCTTCCACGCGGCAATCCCTAAGTACAGGAGAACCAAATCAGATCTTAACAAAATGTTCTGTAGCTCAATAGCTAGGGTATCAGTAATAGTAAAATAAAACGAACCTTCAGTTTCAGACCATCAACAATTCCTGGACCAGAAATAATGTGTGCATTAATTACATCAGCCCAATCTAAAATGCGGAAGATACCTCTGCAGACAAACAGATCATATTAGATCAACTTGAACAACAAAAAAATAAGAATGTTAAAGAAAGCTGGCATTCCCTCACCCTTCAGCTTGCATTGTCACTGTATTTCCAATGTCAGCAAATTTACGATCTTCAAATATTAAGAAGTTGTGCTTGTCTGCAATCTACAGAAGAAAAAAAACAATAGAAAGGACTCAGATAAACTTTAAAATCCCTTTACCTTGGGGAAAACAAGCATTATTTTTAAGCCCCGTTCAATATCATCTTCTTTTCAACTTGCAAAAAGTGTCAATTAAACCCAATGTCGGCATACATTATTATTTAAGTCAACAAATACTTCCAACACGTAGTACCCTTTTATTTGGTCCATTGCTCTAGCTATCAGCTACCGCAAAACCCAGTAGGTTTGGCTCGAACACTAATTGTGTTGAAATTTTGTTGAAATTTTCATATAATATGCAGAAATAATCTATTTAGAACCCAGTAAGCAAAATGGTCCAGAACCCATAAACTAAAGATCTTAGCTTCATCACTAGCTATCAGCCTAGGAAACTAAGTCAGTTTTCAGATTAATACCTAAACACAAGTTACTCCTTGGATGCAATAGTTGAACTCTTTAAGATTAAATTTGTAATCATGCACATGTTGAAGGAATAAAGAAATACAGAAATACGGTAAACATGATCCAAAATTTTCTGCCCTGGAGCAAAATGAAGCACAAATTGCATCATCATCCACCAGAGCAGATCAATGAGCACTAGTAACTTACCGATCTAAGCTTAGAACCAAAGTCAGGAGTAAAATCAGGCAATATATCAACATGTGTTTTTAACATGCAGATTTCAGGTCCAACCTGCATAGAAAATTTGCAATAAACTTGTCAAATTATTAAACATGAAAGGCACTGACATAAATTATCGGACAAAGATCAAATAGGAAAGGAGGAAAACAGCATGATTTCCTTGTGTCACACCAAAACAAAGGAGATTTAGCACAATTCATATGCTAAATACAGCTACTGGTTGTTAACTTTATTATTCGTAAACCTCAAATGTATGATTTTTTCAGTTAATTTGAGACCCAATAGACAAGGTAATAGGGTTTCTACAACTCCTGTGACACAAATTCAAATATAACAAGAAAGAACAGCAGAGGTGCAGTGATTATTATATCTCGCCAGCACTGATCCTTGTTCGCAGAAACTATTTTACACATACAAGTTGCCTAATGCCTACTTGTATTGTTTCCTATACCTTATTCATGAACGATAACAGATAAAAGAACAAAGGTACTATTCATCACCTTGTCAGCAATATCCAGTAGTTCAGCAGCTGTGGCCACATCGGCAGCCAAACACAAATTAGTGTTCTTCTGCACCATGATTTCAAACAACTTCTTCCCAGTAGGGTTCTTTGCAGTCTTTGCCCGCTCGTCATATGGTAATCTGGTCTTGACCTTTGTTTCCTTCACTGGTGCAGGAACCGCAACCTTGCGATTCTCCTCCAAGAATTTCTTCACCATTTTTTCTGTTTCCTCTGAAACCCTACCCTTTTCCTTTAGTATCCTCACCATCTCAGTAAGTTTCACCATTGAATGCAATGTGATTCCATTATCAGCCAAATTTTCCCTTCCTCCTTGCTCTCTATCCAAGAGAATCACCAAACAAGCCACAGTCAGGGAAAAAAAATTAGCTCCAATTTCGCCAATATATCACAAATCGGTGCTAATTGAATTTCTTAAATGACACACTAACACCAAATAAGACTTGAGGCACCGAACAATCCTCTTATCCTATACAGCAATAAGTACAAACAGGGAAAAGAAAATTGACAAAGTTAACAAGTACAAACCAACAATTATACGTCACCATTTTCTTTTCACTTGTGTTAATCATGTTCATGCTTATCTCTGAACTTGACTTCTACAAACATTACGCTTGTTTTAAAATTCAATACACCTTACATTTCCATTAGTTTGACATATCATTTTGATCTAATCACACACCTCTTTTAAAATGATAAAAGTTTTCCCAATAGTTCAATCTAATATAAACTACTAGTAATTCTTTATAGTATTTCAGATTTTGATACTGAAATTATCAACTAATTTCCCCATCATCACATATTTTAAGTTATCAATTCCTTTAGATTAAGATCTTATCAAACATACTAAATATTTAAAGTTCTTAATAAAAAGTTACTTATAGAACATGTCAAACCCTGTCAAACTCTGTGAAGATCAGATTCACTTGATGTTTAAATGTATAGTGAGAGCAGGCATGATAGTAGTTGTAATAAATTATTGTCTCTGATCTATCAGACACAGAGAAATGAATAAAATAATATTCCAACCTTTTACCCTTACAATTCTTGAAAGCTTATAGCGGCATTAATGATATCAGATTTTGCCCAAAAAAAGAAGGCATATTACATAAATATGCCCTTTAACTTGGCTTCAAATCACATTTATGCCCTTCAATTTTGAATGTGCACAAATAGACACTTAAACTTGTATAAATTTGAACAAATAGACACAAATGTCATATATGTCATCCTACATGTCATTTTTTGTCCTACATGGTGTCCTACGTGTATTGTACCATGTAGGACACATGTGTTTATTTATTTAAAAGTTGAATAGTTAAAGTGTTTGTTTGTGCATTATGAAAGTTGGAGGTCAAAGTTAAAATTTGACGCCAAGTTTAGGGTCCAGTATATGTATTATGCCAAAAAAGAAACTTGTCCAGACAATGCTGACCTCAAAGCCTTACAAAATCTTTCAGCAAATTTTGGCATGATGATTTCAACTTGAAATATCCCATTTTCTTGTTTATTAACTTGACTATTTACATTGAAAGTTCAAACAGTGACTATTAGACACCCAAATGAACACCACCATCGAAGCTGCTTTTGCCCAAAAATTACTATGGAAGGTCTAAAATCTTTTGAAAATAAACATTTTTATAACCCTGGTGTCACTAAGGCCAGAACATATGCAAAAAAATCACCTAGTTGGGATTCAAACCGTGCCCGCGTAGTTATCAACCCACTTCATTAACCCATAAGCCAAAAAATGTGACTTTTGCAAAACTCTTTGGAATAAAGTTAGCTACTTTATTATTTTTCTCGGTAAGAAATCGTCCAAACACCACAAAACTGATCGACAGAGCACAAATTCAACTGTATGAGTACGGAAAAAAAAAGAAAATGGACTACCTGTCAATCATGACAACAGCATCAGTAACCTTCAATCCAACAGCACGAAGAGGAGCAGCAGTCTCAAGTACCGAAGCACCACTAGTAACCAAATCCTCAACAATAAGACAAGCTTGACCCGGTTCAAAAGCACCTTCAATAGCCTTAGCAGTTCCATAATCCTTAACCTCTTTCCTCCGCATTACCATCGGCAAGTCATGTGCAGTTGAGATACACGTCGCAATAGGCAACGCCGTGTACGGTACACCGCAAACAACATCGTATTTGGTAGATTCCGGCAGTGAACCAACCAGAATTTGTGAAATCTGACGGAGAATCGAAGGGTATGAAACGATTAACCGGAGGTCAATGTAGATTGGGGAAAAGATACCGGATTTGAGCTTGAATTCGCCGAATTTAACGGCGGCGATGTCGTGAAGCTGAAGGATTATCGACTCCATTGTTTCCGACACCATTTTCTTTGAGCTTTTAGATTGAAGGTGGCTACTGGGTAGAGTTCAAAGTTTGAAGAAAACAGCACTTTTTATAGTTACTTACTTTCATGTTGGGAAAGTAGGTAGAGGTTTTGTCTAGGGCAAATATGATACACTCTCCGAATATAATTTAGACAAATATTATAATATTAAATTAAAAAATATTGTAATCGAAAGTCGAATTAAGGTTAAAATCAAGAGTTATCATATTAAGTTACGACCTCAAACTCAAAAGTCGGAATCAAGGTTAAGAGTCAGGTTAAGGTACGGTTAGGTTCGGGAGATCGCAAGTTCAACCCATGACTTGACTCGACCTTTGAGACTAGGGTGGAGGAGGGCTGGGCTAGGAGTGAGATAATTGTATAGAATGAAAAACTAATAATAAAAAATAAATATAGTAGCTATCGTTTAATTTATTTGTGTTTCATAACAAATTACTTATCAGTCCCATATCCTAGCAAATACATGTATATTTGTCATATACACTTATAATTATATAGTAAAATTACTCTCCTGTCCAAGTCTCTTTTGTCTTTCTCTTTTTCTCTCGTTTTATACTAATTCAAATTGTATATAATTTATCTCTTTCTCGTTTTATACAGTTTGATTCAATTGTGTATTTCCTGCCCAAATCTCTTTTGTCTTTTTCGTTTTATATAAAATTCAAATTTTATGTAATCGTCATGTACACTTGTAATTATACAATTCTCTGCCAGTTCTCTTTCTTTTTTTCGTTCTTTACGCTTTGTTTTATACAATTCGCTTCAACTGTATATGTATAGCGAATTATACATATATATATTTACTATGGAACATAATTATACAAACTTTGATATAGTATACAAATATGAATTTTATGTTTGATATATGTAAAATTTACCCTAAATTATTACTGTTATTTTGATAAATTATTTTATTAGAATAATTGAAAAATAGTTCGGCTTTTACTAAGATGATTTTAATTGGAACAATATTTCACGTAATAATATTATGAATTTCATCTCTCAACAAATTAAATAATACTAATACATTTAGAACATAAAGAAAAAAAGTGACCACCAAAGTAGGGTTTTATTTTTTATTTTTTAAAAAAGTGATTGCGGTTTATCTAGTTGATATATTTTCTATAGTCATTTATTTTTATATTTGAATTCATAGTACTTAACTTGAATATTTTTTAAAAATAATCTCTTTACGCTTATAAAAAAGTAACAAATCTACTTATATTTTATCTTTTTTAATTCTATTTATAAAATTTTACTAAATATATTATTATAAATCGTAGACCAATTAAATCAACCAATCAATTATTAAAAGAAGGAAAGTGCTAATTGAGAAAAAGCACACTATTAACTTTCGGCGATTAAGGGTCCCTTTGGTCGTGTTTTAAATTAATTTGATTATTAATTAATTTAATGAAAAATCAATTTGATTTAAAATTAAAAATATAAATAATTAGTTAACTTTTAATATGATTATTTCGTAAGGTATAAATAATTTATTTACACAGTGAGTATATAGTGTATTTATTTATTTATAAAATATTCATTTATGAATTAAGTTTTTTTTTAAATTGAAGTTGAAGTTTTGTTCAAAATAATTTTTAGAGAAAAACTATGATAAATTTAATTAGTATTTTATGCATATTTGTATTGAGTCTGATTAAAATTCAATTTCGTATATTGTATAAATCATTTTTGAAAGTCAATATTTGTAATTAAAATAATCATTCACAAAGGATTGTATTTGCAATCTCTAACTAAAAATGGTGAAATTCTGAATTATTTTAATTTTCCATCACAATCTTTATCGGTATTTTACTATTACATGTTAAAACCATTGATGTATTTGCACATATAGATTATATAGCATGATGTTGGATTTAATTATTTTATTGTATTAATTTTATATATTGAAATTTAGATATATTTAAAATGTTCACCTAATATTATTTTTTAACCAATAAATATATTTATTCTTTGAAAGAATTAGGTTCATGGCATTTATATTCTCCACTTGTTCTTGTCCTATAAAAGTAAATAAATTAAACAATCTATTTTACTTTAAATATTCTTCTTTTAAATCCTTTAATTTACCAACACAACTTTTGACTCGAGCAATCAATTCCACTAACTAGTTCAAGAAGCATAATATGAGCAATTTTCAAGAATAATGTGGCATTATTGTAGGTCGGCGTGTTAAATAATCGGGTTGAATTAAAATTTAAAATATTAAAATGAGTTCAAATAAAATTTAAGTCGAATCATAACCTCTTCAAATTATGTTAGGCTCAAATAGGATAAACATTGGATTGGATCATGACCTGTGCGATTTGACATGTTTAATCTCAATAATTTAAACATATTGTTATTTTCCTTTAATAACTATTATTTGAATTTTAATTCAATAAAAACAGTTATAAAATTGATATATAAATCATAAAAAATATAAAATAGATTCTAATTTATGCATTCAATATGAGAACATAAATTACACCAATACAAAAAATACTCTTAAAACATGTTGAAATTAGAGATTACATTGGACACAATTAAAAATTATTTTAAAATGGGCTAAAACGTAAATAAGTTGAGATTGATCCAATTCAAAATATCTAGAGCTCCCGCCTATAAAATTTTAAATGAGTTAGACGAGTTATATATATTTAGGCTCATTTTGACATTCTTAACCGTACTTGTATGGAGGTATGCAAAAAAAAATTATTCTTATACTTTTTATCGAAAAATCATATTATATATGCCCGTAAGTAGGAGTATGAAATTTTCTCGATAAAAATTAAATTAAAAATTTTTAAATATGATTTCATTTTTTGAAAATACTTTTCGCAGAATATCAATTTGAGATTAAAAAACGTTTTCAAAAATATAAAAACAATCACTTGGATTTTAGTTTCGAAGAAAAGATATCTGAAAAAACATTTTATTTTACTAATTAAAATCATATTATTCCCCTTTACAAGTTCGATAAAAATATTTACAACTTCAATATTTATAAGCAAAATTAATTTATGTCCATAACTTATGTTCGATAAACGAAACCATTAAACTTAACCCGAAAACAAGCTAAAAAAAGCCCAATTCAAAACGGGTCAAGTATATTATAAAAAGGATGGCTGACATTTCTCTTATCTTTTTATCTCGAAGATTTTGCCATTGTGGCTCCATAATCCCCTCGGTGAGTTCATCTCTTTTCCCCTCTTCTGTAAATTCAATGTTTTTTTCTTGTACTATGTTTAATTGGGTGTTCGAAAATGTATTTAATTTTAGCTGACTCGCAAATCTTGGTTTACTATTCTCTCCATTTCAATTTGTTTGTGTGGTTCGACTTTGGCAAATAATATAAGAAAGTAAAGATTTTTTTTTAATCAAGTGGGGTTGAAGTAAAACTAATGTTATGTCGAATGTATCAAAATGTTGTTTAATGTGAAAAGTTAGAATTGAAGAGTTGCTATTGGAAATTGAAATGGAGGGGGTTAGTATTTATGCTTCACTAGGATTTGAACTTGAGACGTTATGGTTATCAATCTACTTTATTGACCGCTACTAATATTTTAGGTGGACTGCAATCTTGATGAACATACTAGTGTTTATTTTGTTGTTGATACTGGTTTCCTTTGATTCCTCTTTGTTTTGTGGTTTAAAGACTTGTCCTTTATGATTAAATATGGTTCTTTTATGACCAATTGCTTGCGTAAGGACTTATTTGCGGAATATTTTGTGGTGTAGAGTTTGCGAAATGCGTTTGTGGTGGAGGGGGGTTGATGTTTGGTGTAATTTTGAAAAGAAAAACAATGAGTGGAAGTAATGTGTATTGAAATGCAAGAGATATATAATGGAGTAAAGATAGTTGTAATGAGGACTTAAGGTACTTCTATTGTTAGGAGTGTGTGTTTTGTATTTTTTTTGAAGATTGATAATAAGCTCAGCAAATTGGTTTTATATTTTGATAAAGCTGAGTATTAAGAAATGACAATATTATCTAAACAGTGGTTGGAGCGAGCGATAAGGAGAAAGAGCTGAAATCGTAGTAAAAGGAAATGACTTATCTCATAAGTGAGAGTAGTTATTTCCCCCTTTTGATGGAAAACTTTTTTTCTTAGGAAATATGTTTAGGACCATTTTTATCACTCTTCTACTGTTTTAGTCATACCGAGCAGTGTTAAAGTCAGAGTCAAACCTTCTGTAGACTTACTATCAAAAATATATTTCTCCAATTTGTGTTCGCGATGATCCGGGGAAATTTTAGATTGGCGATTAAGATCCTTGGTAGTTGTTATGGTAATAGTTTTGTCCTCTTAGTAGTTCTATGCTCATATTTTTCCCATTGTTAAATATCACTTCCTTTCCTTTAGGCCTCTCATCTCTGATAGTAAGTACCACGAGAGGCTACTGAATTTCTTTGTTTTCTTTGCAGCGTATAAATGGCAGTGAGTTTGAGTCTTGTTTCCTCATTCAAAGGACTCTCCTTATCTTCCAATTCTCTCCTTGGGGTTTCTCTTCCCATTGCCCCTAAGTTCTCCGTTTCCTTCCCGTTGAAATCTCCATTGACAATTGAGTCTGCACACAAGAAAGGAGCTGGTAGCACTAAGAATGGTCGAGATTCTCCTGGACAGAGGCTTGGTGTCAAGATTTATGGTGACCAAGTCGCCAAGCCCGGTTCTATAATCGTTCGCCAGCGCGGTACAAAGGTTTCAATTTTACTTCTTCTGGATCTCCTCTCTCTTTTTTATTTTTGCCTAAAACTCGTATTTGCTGTGGAAGTTCTGATAGTTCTTTTGATTAATTAATAGTGCTTGAAATGAATTCGGATGAACCCACCCAAGTAGAGTGTAATTCCAGTTTTTTTGCTCAATACCTCACAAACATACTAGGTCCTGGCATCTTGTCAATAACTCTGCTCCATTCGTCTGGCTTTCTTCGTTTGGTTTGTATATTATTTGTTAGAAATATGTGGATTGTCTAGAGGGCGTTAGATTGAGTACAAAACAAGGTACTAGAGGGATACATATCTTGTCATTTGAAGTAACAGATTGCTATAAGGTTTAAGGTTTTGAGCTCGTGTCGTGAAGACATAGTTGGAAGTTCTCTTTAAGAAATGCACATTTGTTATAATCCGACTTGAGTTTTTTTTCTTTGCCGAAAGTGTCAGTTTCTGACAGTATGATGCTATGAGTAGATGTCGTCTTCTATCAGTTAGATAGTAAAAGGGTTTATGCCAGAGGTTGGTATTAGTTTTACTTTTTTTCGGCTCTGATATGATCCTGTTATCGTCTGTTTGTTTGCTCTAAGAGTAGTTCAAAAGTTGCATTCTCCGTTTAGCATTGCCATATATTCTGTTCCCTAATCGTTCTCGTGGTGATATTTCCAGTTCCACCCAGGAAAGAATGTTGGACTTGGCAAAGATCACACAATATTTTCTTTGATTGATGGACTAGTCAAATTTGAAAAGTTTGGACCTGACAGGAAAAAGGTTGAGTTCTTTAGCTTACTGCTTGTAGATATGTGGTACACGAGTGTTATTAACGTATACTGACTGTGCAGATAAGTGTTTATCCACGCGAGGTGCAACCTGAAAACCCCAACAGCTATAGAAACCGAAAGAGAGAGTCCTTCAGATTACAACGTGAACGTAGAAAGGCACGAAGAGAAGGTGTCATCCCTGAGCCTCAGTTGATAGTTGCTTCTGCTGCTGAATCCTCTGAAGATAATCCCATCACCACTTGCTGATAATGGTCTTTCGATTTTTCAAACATTCTGTTGTCGTTTTGGTTATTGCTAGTAGCTACTTGGGAACACATTTGCAGGCACATTTTCTAAACTGTGTTTCTGCCATTGTTGTCTTTTTTTGTTTGTAAATTGTGTTACTGAAAGCATGAGTCTTTGTCACAGTTTGTATGAGTACAGAATGAAATGTATGATTCAGAAGATGCAGCTTTGCACAATAGCACAACCAAAAGAGTTTTGAGTTTTCATTCGGTTTAAGTGTTCAGTTGGTAAAATCACAACTAAAATAATCCAATTTCAGAGACCTTCCACGTTATTCCGCCGCAGAAGCTAGTAGTAAGAGAAATCTTCTAATTTTAAGGAAATTTGAAGATTTTATCAGCAAATTTATGATCAAATTTAAACTGTTTAACAACCGTTTCATATAAATTAGGAGGATGAGAGTATATTTAAAAGAATAATGAGTAGTACATAAAAGGGTTCATTTGATATTAGAAGGAATATTAAATTTGGAATAATCTGTGGTCATATGATAAGTTATCTTATTATATATACCATAGAAAATTAATCCAATAGGATAAATTTGTTTATCTCATCTCTCGTATAAAAATAGTGACTGTGAAAACAATTAAGTGTAATTATAATTAATTTTAAAATAAAATATTTCATCCCTTTTAGTGGTTATCTTATTAAAAATAAGTTAATTTGAAAAAAAGTTATTCCATCAGCCATACGACATAACTTATTTCGTCAGCCCAGGGACGAAAATAGTAGGATAAATAATCCAAAAGAAAAAAAAACAAACTATGTAATACCCTATATCAAAATTGAAATAAAATAATCTTACATTTTATGGCGAGTTTATTATACGATCCCAAAACAAATACTCCGACCCGGAACCCGACTCTGGTGCTGAACAAATTTGTGGCAGCCATTTCTCTGTTCTCTTTGTAGAGGATTTTGTGATTCTGGTTGTTCTTCATCTTGCGATTTGCGACCCTCGGTGAGTTCATCTATTTATTTTATTTAATTTTTCTCATGTTTAAGTTTAGTTGTAATATGTGTCAAATCGCACTAGGCAAGCCCTGTGCCAAATTTTAGCTGACTGCAATCTTGATGAACAAACTAGAGTTGGTACTGTGATTTTTTCTGATTTCTCTGTGTTTGTGGTTTAAAGACTTGTCCTTTTTGGTTAAATTGTGAACCCTTTATCACCAATTGTTTGGTTAATGCTTTATTTGCGGAATTATTTTTTTGATGTAGAGTTTGAGAATGAGACTATGGAGGAAGGTAGATGATGTTAGGCGTTATCTTGAAAAGAAGAGTAAATGTGAATGTGATGTGTATTGCTAAGGAGCAAGAGATAGTTGTAATGAGGACTAAAGGTGATTTTTCCATTTAGGTGTGTTAGGCATGAAGGAAAATGCTTTTCCGAAAAATAAGTTGTGAGTATTATATGTGAGCATTGGTTGGAGCTAGCCGAGGAAGTGGTGAACTCTGCGTTCACTCTACCCTCCCCAGACCCCACTTAGCGGGATTGTCACTGGGTATGTTGTTGTGTTGGTTGGAGCTAGCGATATGGAGTAAGAATTGAAATAGCAGTAAAAGGACATGACTTGTGAGATAAGTGAGGAGAAGTCATTTTCCTCTTTTGGTGGAAAACATTTTCAGCAACCAAACACGAAAAAATAACTTCTTATATTTGAAGTTAACTAATTTTAACATGTATTTGTGGAAAATGATTCTAGTCACAGACTGAACAGTGCCAAAATCACAATCAGACTTTTCTAGACTTACTATTAAAAATGTATTTTTCCGATTTGTGTTGGTGATGATCGGAGTATATTTTGGATTGGTTATAATATTCTTCTTGGTTGTTTTTTTATGTCAATCGTTAGTTCTATGGTCATCTTTTTCCCCATTTTATACTTGGTACGCTTTGGCATATCCTAATACGGTGAAATAGAAATGCGCCTTAGTCTTGAATTCCTTTATGATATTCATCTTGTTACCTTTATTTAAACTTCCAAGATATTTCAGGCTGTTATTGATACTGTGCTATTATGACATTAGATTCTACTATAGTCCTAATTGGTATGCTTGGGTTGTTCCCGAGTTTTGAAACTCTTTTTACTAGTAAAAGTTACATAACCTTTTTCATTCCATGGGCAAATGCTAAGAGGGTAACCTAAAACCATCTGTATATTGAACATACTAATCAAATAAAAGAAGGTACTGGACTGCAAATTAAATAGCACTAGACGTTTAAATTAGGAAAAATGATGCAATTGTAGAATTTATCAGTGCAAGATGCCTTTTGTGGCGTACATAATCCAAACCTGTACTGATGATATCTTTGAACAGCAGGTTAATTGAACTGCTCTTGAGTCCTAAAGTCATTTGTACCTATTTATGTTTGATGCATATTTCAGTTTGTATTTAGATTGAGAGGAACCAAATAATGCAGTCACTGGTAGCCATATCAGCCATTGCTTATCAAGTTTTTATGCTTTTTCGATCTTTTGGCATTTTATTTGTAGAATTATTTGCCATCTGTCCGTGTCCGAGCTTTGGTAGACCGTAGATAAGAGTTACATGATACTTGTTGCTGGTGGGTTCTTGATTCTAGTACACTACAACGACTGGTTTCGGGATAGATATCTTATTTACACATATTAAGTGAATTATTAACATAATTACAAAGTTTGGGCCAAACTTCTCTGGATTCTGTGAACCCGTAGCTTGTGGTGTAGATCCGCCCCAAGGGAGAAAACTGTTGAATGAAAATTTGTTAGTAAATTTACTCCAAAGCAAGAATAAAAATGGAAAACTCTTAACAATTTCTGTGAATTATGAATCTAGTGCCTGTTGGCTGCAAAGTGACTCAGAATTTATGGAATGGTACTCACGAGAACCATAAGACCGGCAAGCTATCCAAGATGATATTTGGAAGCCTATCTCGCTCTTAGTGTTATATAATAGGTCTGTTAGACCATGTTCTGTATATGCTTGATCAAGTTGTTCTCAAAAGTCATTACACACAGCCAGTAGAAAAGTGCTGATTGCTGAAAGTGAAATAGAGTGACTGTTGCTGCATGGGTGATGAATCATATTGGTGCGCATGAAGCTTAGACTCTCCAAAAATGTTATTGAACTTGTGTTGAATCCTCCAAAAATGCTACTTTTGAAGGATCTGGCTCGCACTTGTTGGCATTTTTGAAGAGTCGGAGCAACTTAGTTTTGTCCAGTCATCCTACTTATAGACATCTATATTGATTATCTCACACTCTCGCTCTGAACTTTAAGCATTTCTATCCTTGAAGCCTTTGATTTGTTTCGTTGAGAAAAAAGAAAGTTGATAATGATCATATGCTACCAAGATGTTCTTACTTTCTATACTGCTCCTGAAAGTATTGACACACAGCTCCTCCTTCCGCGTGTTTATTGTCCATTTTATCTTCAGATTATTGAGATGCCTTTCTATTTGTGGTTTAGTGTTTGTTAAACTTCAGCATATCCATTTTCGTCTTGCCACATTCTCTTGTTTGCATCAGTCATCAGGTTCTTGAAGTTGACCAGTGATGGGAAATAGGCCAGCAAAGCCGGAGAGAGATGAGGTGCTTTTGAAGATTGTGCCTCCTCTAGATCAAGCATACGTTAGATGGCTTGCTCGTGATCTCGAGAGAATTCATGGCTTCACTCCAAGAAACCCTCGTGCTGTAAGGCCACCCGATCATTACATAGAATACATGCGTTTACAGGGATGGTTGGATGTCAGCTTAGATGACCCCGACCTTGCTCATCTACTTAAATAGTGAAGTATATCAACTGCAATACTCTTAAGAACATGTATAAACTTCAAATTGATGTTTAGTTTTCTGTACTGGTACATTGAGATTCAGATCCTGTGTATGATTTTATGAAATGGAAATCTTGTGAAATATCACTTGTTTGCTTGAGCTATGTGACTTTATTAGTATGAGTTTGCAATTATTTTCCCCTAGAGGGTCGCGGCGCGATCCTATCGGATCACTTTACCCTTAATCATAACTCTCGTGTTCGAACCATGGAATAGAAAAAACTTGTAGAAAATGCTCCCCCTTCTAATGACCTTTCAGTAGTTTGGGGTCTTCGAAAACAACCTTTCTATCTTGTATCTCCACGAGATAAAAGATAAACTCTGGATATATTTTACTCTCCACTAGGTTTCAATGATAACGTTGAAAATTTCTTTTTATCTAGTAGTGTGACTTTTGATTTAAAATCTCACTAGCGATTAAAACGACAACCTGATCTATAATGAATAGTGATTGATTATACATATCTGCAAATCGATAAGTCGAATCGAACCACATCCCTAATCGAATAGACCCTTAATATATATTTTTTACAATAACACAAATATTGTTATTTGTTTAACATAATACGTCTCAAAAGTTATATGACTATATAAGTACTATCATGTTGTACACTAACTAATATACATGGTCGATGACTAGATATGATTATTACTTTGCAAGTAATTTTTCTTCAACCGATTGATTAAACATATTAAAGTTTTTATCAATAATTTTTTTTTTCATGGAGCCCATAGAATTCAATTTGACATGTGAAAATGGAGGGTGCAAACTAAATCCAAACTTTATCATTAAACTATAATTGCATAATCATATTATTAAAAAAAAAAACATAGTACTAAAGTACCATTTATTTACTTTGATTAATTAATTTTTATAATATATAGTATTTTTTTATTTACAAATAACTGCAAATTCCCTCCACCTATATATCCGAACCAAATTCCCTCTCTTTCTTCTTCTTGTTCTTCCCTTTCTCTCTCTTCCCGCTATTTTTTTTTCCCTTTTCCCAATTTCAGATCTCATCTTTTTCCACTCAATTCTCCTTTTTTTCCCATCAATTCTCACTTTTTTGACAAACCCCTTATGCCTAAAACTTCAAGAATCGAAAAGGGTTTTCAATTTTATCTCTTGTTTTGTCACTGAAAACAAAAAGATCGATTTTTTTGGGAATTTTGGGAGTTTTTAGCAGGTGGGGTTGTTTAAAAACGAAGGTTTTAGCAGATCATGAAACCCCAACAGCAGCAGCAGCAGCAACAATCTTTGAAGCGTCAGCTTCAGTTTTCGTCGATTAAACCGGTATTTGGTGACTACCACCGGTTTTCCACAGAACCAGTTGATTGTTCCACTCAAGAACCCCCTGGAATTGTTGTGAAGACTCCGGTGAGCTTTTTTTTTTTTTACTGTTATTTTAGCGTCTTACTGATGTAATATAGGTGTGTGGTGTAAATTGAACAGTGTTATGTAAAATTTGCTGTTGGAGTTTGGGTATTTATGGTGAAAATTGCTGGTTAAGATGTTCGAATGGAAAATTTGAGGTTTTGTGTTGTTTAAGTGAAGCTTTGAGGTGGGTTTGACTTGAATTGTAGTTTTATTGTTAAGGCTGTAGTGAGCTCTCCAATTTTTGTAATGCTATCCTGTGTATCTTTCTGTGATGTAATTTGCTTTATTGATGAATGATAGTGGTTGAAATGGATCAAGGAACTGGTTGTGTTAAATGTTGTTGAATTTGGATATCGAGACTAGTGAGCTTTCTTTGTGATTCTTTAGTGCCTTACTGATGCACTATAGGTGTGTTTATGGGATAAATGAACAGTTTTATGTACAATCTGTTGTTGGCGTCTGGATATTAAATGGTGAAAGATGCTTTATTGTTTGTTCGTTAAGATTTTCGACCAGAAAAATTGAGGTTTTATGTTGTTTAATGAAGTTTTGAGGTGGGTTTGACTGGAATTCTTGCTTTACAATTCAGGCTCTTGTAAGTTCTTCATTTTCCTCAACGCTATGCTGTATATCATTCTGTGATGTAGTTTACTTTATTGTTGGGTGCCAGTGGTATAAAATGGATCAAGGAACTGGCTGTGTTAAATGTGCTGTTGAATTTTGGATATATAGTGGTCATACTAGCTTTATTTAGCCCAATTGTTTCTCCACTCGGAAAAGCATTTGAGAAATGTTTCAAAGGGACTATACACAAGTATCTGAGAAATGTTTCAGATGTAGCACACTATTTATTAGGTTTTATAGGACATATTCTTTATCATACGAGTCTCGAGAACCTTGATCTAGTGGAAGATTTGGAAGTATTTAACTACTACCAAACTCAAGGAAGACTAATTTATCGGGCACATTCTCTAATTTAATTTTTCTCTTTCCTTTTATTGGTTTTGTGGAATGTTTAAACCAATGAACTCATGGTCTTATTAACATCCTCGCACTGAGCAGCTATTTGATGGTTGTTCATCTGCTTTTTCCATAAGAATACATCCGTCTTCAGCTATCCAAACTATGAACTGTTCGTATGACCATCAGTAAGGAATTTTTGTCTAAGTAGGATTAACCCAATAATAAGTGTTGTATGACTAATTTTCACTTATTATTCGGAGTGTTGATAGTATGTGATTAATTTGTCATTGTGCATGCTAAAATGAAAATTGCACTTAACCTATGCTGATTCAAAGGAGATGCATGCGGTTGACAAGTTCACATTTATGTACCAATTTCATTTTCAGACACAATTTAGGTTAAATCTTAAAAATATAATTTGCTGATAGCGCTTGGGGTACTCAATTGTCTTTTTCAGCCACTGAAGCGGAAGAGTGCAGCAGCAAATTATGGACAGGTGGTTGGTGACCGGAATCCAGCTTGTGGATATGCTAATGTCAACAGTCCTTTACAAACGACACCAGTATCTGGAAAAGATGCACAGAAAGTTCCTAGGACTTCAAAGGCCAGATCTGCTTCTCAAGCTGTTACCTCCAATGTTGGTGAGGATTTTTGAGAAAAATGTTTCATTCAAAATGTTAAAGTACTTCATTTACTTTCAATGAAGCATTCAGTATAGCAATCTTACTTCTGCAAGCCAGTAAATTGTAGATTATCTGCTGATGCTTCTTTTCCTCCCCTTCTCTCTCTCTCGATCCTTATCTTTGTAATTCACTTTTTCTGAGACCGACCTTATTTATACAAGCAGAGAATTACTAGCTCTAACTTTTGGTTATTGAATTTACAGGATCCCCTTCAGGCAATAATGTTACTCCAGTTGGTCCTTGTCGATATGATAGCTCCCTGGGTAAGTTAAAACTTTGATGACATAATTGTTGATTTGTCCTTCAATGTATTATTTCTCTGATGTCTGAGTTGTTCTCAAGTGTTACATATTTGTGGTTTATTGGATACTCCTCCGGCAATTACCTGTTAAATGGAAGAGCTATAGTAAACTAGTACTTATAACAGCATCTCTTGATTCCCATTCAGGTCTTCTAACGAAAAAGTTCATCAATCTAATCAAACATGCAGAAGACGGTATGCTTGATCTAAATAAAGCTGCTGATACATTAGAGGTGAAGTTCAATTTATGTAAACGATGCAGAAGACAGTATTCTTGAATCTTGATGCTACTATGCTTGATGAGGTCTTACCAGTTTAAGGTGGTTATTTCTTATAACAGGTGCAGAAAAGGCGTATATATGATATCACAAATGTCCTGGAAGGCATTGGGCTGATAGAAAAGAAACTCAAGAACAGGATCCAGTGGAAGTATGGGCAGATATACTTATCCAAGTTGAATAAATTTCTCAATTATTTATCATGAATATTTATAATGTGATTCGGGATAATTCAGAGAAAAAATAAGTTAAAATATGATTTTAAATATTATTATGTAGGGGTCAAGGTGTCTCGAAACCAGGAGAAGCTGACGAGAGTGTTGCAAGTTTACAGGTAAGGACCATTACTCCAACGCCTGTTGTATTTCTTAATGTTTTTTTTAGTTTACACATTTGTCCTCTAGAAGTGAAGTAACTTGAGCAAAAGGGGCTCGTACTGATGAAAAGATCCTCTATTCTCTTGAAAAATGTGTGGGATTTTTTTTTCACAAAACAACAGTTTTAAGCATTCCAATGCTCTTAATTTTAGCCTGTGCTTCCTCTGCTGAAGGCTGCTAACAACATAGACCTGCCAGTATCAGTTTTAATGGTATTCTCTTATCGAGAGTTTGCACTCTTGCAGGCAGAAGTGGATAAGTTGACGATTGAAGAGCATAGATTAGATGACCAGATAAGGTAGCTTCTTAACTAGTAATAAAAAATCCAACAGTGCTTTGCTTCATCTCTGACCTTAGATTGTGTTATTGTTGGCTTCTTTCAGAGAAATGCAGGAAAGTTTAAGGGACCTAAGTGAAGATGAAAATAATCAAAGGTAGCATCTTTGGCTTAAATAAGAACAACATTCTGCTCATGCGATTTCTGATGGATTTAACTGCTCACCATTTTCTTATTCATTCTTAAATACTGATATCCTGAAAAATTCTTTTCAAAGATGGCTTTTCGTCACTGAAGACGATATCAAGAGCTTACCTTGTTTCCAGGTAATATTTTAGCCCTCCTTCCAATTTTTCCATTCCCTTTATTTCTAAATGCAACCTTCAATAACTGACCGCTTAGTCTAAAAATTGATTGGTTCGATCAGAATGAAACATTGATAGCAATTAAAGCTCCACATGGCACCACTTTAGAAGTCCCAGACCCTGACGAGGTAACCTATATCTCCTTATTACAGAAAAAATATTGTTCCATTTCTTGCCCTTTCACTACCACATTTCTTAGCATGTCCTTCTTGCCTCTAATAGGCTGTTGATTATCCACAAAGGAGATACAGAATAGTGTTACGGAGCACCATGGGCCCCATTGATGTTTACCTAGTCAGGTATTTTGCTGCTTCTTAGCACAATATGAATCCCAGGATGGAGAGAAGGGGAGGGGTGTTTCTAATCTTTTTACATTATATGGGGTATAATGGATATATTTCAATATTTGAAACTAGAGTTGTGTTTTATTTAGTCAATTTGAGGAGAAGTTTGAGGAGGTAAATGCTGTTGAGGCACCCCCAAGTGTGCCTTCAACGTCAGGTCTGAATGAGAATGAAACTCCAACATTGGCTACTGAGGAGAATGAAGAAGTTGATATTGGCATGGAGGGAAAAGAAAATCAAAGTGTGCGCTCAGAAGTTGGCACTTCACAGGACTTTATGACTGGAATAATGAAGATTGTTCCAGATGTTGATGTAAGTTACTGTTTACGAGCATTGCATTAACCTCTCATTACAAGCATTACATTAATTGTTCATGGGCATTACATAATTGCAGTGCTATTGAATGCCAGGCAAAAGTAAGAAAGTACGACCCATAAAGCATTTGCATTTTGCCATTCCTAGAAGAATAGATGTTTCAGACACGATCTTATTTATTATGAAAAGATATAGGATTTGAATAACTATGGTTTTCAGTTGCTAATTATTTTCAATCTTCAGAACGAAGCAGATTACTGGCTTTTGTCAGATGCAGATGTTAGCATCACTGACATGTGGAGGACAGAATGTATCCTTCTGAAATCTGTTTTCTGTTTTTATCAAAAGGATTTAACTTTATATATATTGATTCTAACACTATCGATGTATTATGGACGGTTACATGTAGTTACCATTTTAGGCAACCTGTTTTGTGCATAGAAGTTGAACTTTCATTGACATTACTTCTCCGAATGTAACATCCATAACTCGCAAATAGCTGCTATTGACTGGAACGAGTTGGATGTAATTCAAGAAGATTATTCAATCGCTAATGTCAGTACCCCAAGAGCCCAAACTCCGCCACCTGCTACAACTGAAGTACCTTCTGCAGCTAATACTTCCGGGTGCTAAATGGTATTTGCTGGTGCTTGTGTGGATGCTGTCGTTTAGTTTTCTAAAAGATGAATGGTCGCTCCATTTGCCGGATGATGCTTATATATTATTGGTTGAACAAAAGCTTCTACATTAGATTCATTCCCCTGTACATCCATTTCAACTCTATAAAGGAAAGAACAAGTGCATCCAGGGCTGTTGCATTTGAGGCTCAAGATATTGCAAGACTCGAGCCGATTGTTCATTGTACAGTTTAGATATACTTAGATTGCACTTGTAATAGCAACAGTCAGTAGGTTAAGCTGTCGATATCTTGCCTCGTGTATCGTCTAGCTCATTGCTTTCTATGATCTTAGCTCTAACAATATAATTAGGTTGATGCTTTAGCCTAGATTATTCTCATACTTTAGGACAAGTTTTATTTAGTTGCTGCAGTTCTTTTTACATTTGAATGTGTCTGGAGTTTGCTTTTCTGCTATTCAAGTTCTCGAATTGCATCTATTGAGAAAGGGTGACTTGGAGCAAACAGTAAACTGTTTGAGTCGTGGAATCAACCATTGATGCTTGCTTTTATCTGTGTACACTACAACCCCTCGGGGTACAGAACTTTCCCAATCCTTGCACGAACATGAGATACTTTGTGGACTGAGGCTAAATTGAGAAGAACGATAGAAACATCGATGAACACCTGTATTTCCAGTTATATACTGAGCTAAAATCTTGCAGTTATCAACAGTGTTGTTATACTTGACAATAACAATTAAATAGTAGTAAATATAATTAACCTGTAGTATTTACTAACACATATATTACATCTGCAGCAAAATTGTGTCCAAAATCAACCTAGTTTTACTTCTCTTTATCAACTTTCTTTCCAATCCAAGTAGCAACAATTGGTGTTAAAGCAACAGTAGGGGGAAATCTAATAGGTGATGCGGCTTTGTGAGCGGCATAAGCCAATGCAAAAGTTCCCACTTTCTCACCAGTCTCATCAGTAGAAATACCAACCTGCAAAATATATATATGAGTTTCTATTAGATAAAAATATTGGAGTGAGATGAGTTTAAATGGAGCAATATGGCCGACGAGAACTCATACTAGCTGATCCTAACTTGTTTGAAATTGAGACGTAGTTATAACAGTTGTAGCATGCCAACCTATGCTTCACATGTTGAGTGACTTGAATTGAAAATCATAGTTCAGAGAAAAAAAAAACTCATTGTTGAGTGACTTTCTAATAGATAAGTGACTTGAATTGAAAATCATAGTTCAGAGAAGAAAAAAACTCATAGTTGAGTGACTTTCTGATAGATAAGTTCAAAGTTGAGTGACCATTTGAGATATTATTTCAATTTTCATTGACTGTCAGACTATATTACTCGAACTCTTCAAAACCTTATTGCTATATTTTAAAAAATGCACTGCTTTTGGGAATCCAACACACTCAACAACAATTTTGAAGAAGCGGAGCAACATAGACAACCATGCCAACATCACCATTCTTTTGGAGGATCTGACTAACATTTTCGAAGAATCCGAGCAACATAACTGTCAAGCCACAAACCTCGGAGGTGCAAGAACTCTTTTTGTGTTAGAAAAAGTGTACCTTTTGTAGCAAGGATTGAACATCAACACCAGAATTGATGAGAGCATAACAGAGACCAAATGATATCAATGAGAGAGTAATTGAAGTTGCTAAATAAGCTCCTCCATATTTTGCCAAAAGCTCTTTTGCTTGATCCCCTTTTGATTTCTTATCCTTGTTCTCTTCATCTCTATCCTCTTTTGAGCTAAATATCTGAAATCATTTAATATATTATAAAAGATAATCTTTTCAATGTATTACTTGAATCGATCGTGTATCGAAAACAGTCTTTCTATCTCCACGAGGTAGGGTACTGTTAAGGTCTGCATATGTTCTACCCTCTCCAAACCCTACCTTATGAGATTATACTCGATACATTGTTATTTGTAAAAGATGATATTTGCTATGCATTACTTGAGCCGATGATCTTTCGAAAACTGTCTCTCTATCTCCACAAAATAAGGTTAAGGTTTGGATACGTTATACCATCTCCATACCTCATCTTATGATATTATACTCGATATATTATTATTTATAAAAGATAATCTTTTTTGAAGTTTTCTTGAACGGGGTAAGTAATAGGCAAAATAGAACGATAGAAACTTATTTGCGATCAACTTTTTATATCAAAGCAATAAATATACAATACATGTTTGTACACTTAATCAACAACAATTTATTAACATATTTTTCCACCTCTTTCTTTCACTTAACCATAGTAAATTTAATCAATCAATTAAGCATTGACACGTGTTTGCACATACATTTATCTTATTTAACCAACTACGCGAATTTTAATTAGTCAGACCATTGAAATTTATATACCAAGAAAATAAAATATTATAATTCCCAAATTCCAAACACCCTCCCTTCGAATTTACTTGTCAAATACTTACTAATTCAATTTCGACTTTGGACAATTATTTTTCAACATTATACCAACAATTTATTAATATCGAACTAATATCATTTAAAAAAAAGTGTTTGACATCGTATCAATTAATTAATAGAGGTAAAATAATAAATCGGAACAGAAGAGTACCTTCCATAGGCCAGCTTCTAAACCAAATTTCTTTGTAATTTCCTCAGCAGATTTAACTTCTTCTGTTGTTTTCTCCTTCAATGCTCTAATTTTAAACTTTTTATTGGAATTTGAGGTAACTGAATTTAGTGCCTTGTTTGGTTTTCTTAAATTTGGAAAAACAGGAAATAAAGAACAAAGAGCAATTTTACTGTACTGAGAAGAAATTTGTAAAGCAGAAGCCATATTTTTTTTTGAGTTTATCCAAACGCGGCGTTAATTCTCTTCTTCTTTGAGGAGTGGACTCAAATGGAGAATTAAATAAACAAACAAAAAATCAGATGGAGAGAATGACAAGTTTCATTATTTTTGGCCTTTCTTTATTTTAACAAATAAAAAATGTAGGTATTCTATATTCCCTACTATTGGGCTTCCTACTTTTTTGGGCCTACTAGTCTAATCATAAATTTTTGGAATTTAAAATTGTATATAATAATAAACTATTAATTTAAATAAAATATTATAAAAATACTTTGATTTTGTATCCTATAGCAAGTTATTGCTATTTTCGCCACTCTCCCTAGTGGAAGCTCGCTTGCCACTCTCGTTTGGTAGCAGTTTCGCTCGCCTCTCTCGCTCTTTAAACACAACACAAATGTATAAAATGTGTTTGTGTTTGTATAAAGCAAGAGGAAATTGTATAAATAAATATATTTTCGTTTCACTCTCTCTCCTACCAGATCTTGCTCGTCACACTCCCTAATCTTGCTCGCCACTCTCGTTTGGTGGCAGTTTCGCTCGCCTCTCTCGCTTTTTATACACAACACAAATGTATAAAATGCGTCTGTGTTTGTATAAAGTAAGAGAAAATTGTATAAATACATATATTTTCGTTCTCCTCTCTCAGATCTCGCTCGCTACTCTTCCTAATCTTGCTCGCCTCTCTCGCTTATACAAACAGAAACAAAAATGTATAAATTGTGTTTCTGTTTGTATAAAGCGAGAGAAAATTGTATATTCACCATGCAAATATATATATCTTCGTCCTATGCACTCATAATTATACGATACAAATATTTTTCTGCCCGATTTTCTTTTGTCTTTCTCTCTTTCTCGTTTTATACATACACAGATTATACAATTGTTTTTTGTATATGTACAGTGAAATATACATATTTGTGTTTGGTATGAAGTGCAATTTTATAAACTTTACTATAACATACAAATATGAATTTTGTGTTTGCTATATGTAAAAGTTACTCAAATTTTTAAAAAAATATTGGACGTGGCAAATGTTTATTGTATTTATGATAACTAGTTATAATTTTAAAAAATTATGAACAATAGCTATGTTTTGGATTATGTAGTAAATACATAATATACATAAAATTGATACTTGATGTCAAAATACAATTCTTTCGCCTGATACGAATAATATTCAACTAATATACAATGATTGTTGCTAATTATAATTATGTTCGTAATTACCTCTTTAAATTACCGTTAGTTTATAAAATTTTCTCAAATAATCAGGTGGTAGGGGGCGGAGTCAGCATTCTGTTAGGGGTTCATTCGATGAAAGATATTATTATTTATACATAATTAATTATTTTTTTTATGTATATATAATAAATATCAATCCGCCTTCAATTAATTCGTATGCTTAACTCTTCGAATTTTAAACCTCTTTTTTGGTTTTGAACTTACATAAACATATAAACTTTTTGAATAGTTAGTTATACCTTCATTATTATAACTTACTAATTTATTTTTCATAATTATCAGTGGACCTGATAATTTTGAATTGTTTTTTTTTCTTTTAATAAATATCAAACATTGCTTAGTAATGAAGGGAACTACATTTTGCTATTTTCTTGAAGTGAAAATTTTAGAGTGACTAAATTACTCTATATTATTTTTATTATGCTCTTTTATTTTATACAATTAAATGAATAAATTGATAGCAATTTGGAAGACAACTTAGCTCTTAATTGATGCATTACTTGAAATTGAAAATGAAAACTAATCTAAAAATTTCTAAAACAGAAGTAAATTAACTATTAAGAAAGAAAACAAATCTTGAAAATATTCCAAAGATTATAGTGCAATAGCAAGTACTTTTCAATTTTTAATTAGAAATCTCGATCGAATTTGAATGGTGAGTATGGAGTCGGTCATCTTTATTAGAAGCGTTTTACCTGAAACTTTTCGACGTGAATTTAAATTAATTGAATCTTAAAATAAACGTTCAATAGTTGTTGTTCCTTGTAGCAAAATTTTGGTAATAGGTTAAGCTCATTCACCAACTAATTAATGATATATGGACATGAAAATGTAGAAAAATGTTTTTTTTTTTAAAGAAAAAAATTTATGTTTATAAGTAAGTATAACAATATTATCTCAACAACAATTATATATAATCGAATAAAATATTATAAGGATGAAATAAGATAAAGTACAAATTCAAAGACAGCAAAAGAGAGACGAAACACTAAACTTAAAAGGTCAGTAATGAATTTTTTTCACAATTTTAATTATGTAAATCATTTTTCTCATTTTTAAGTTTTTTTTTTAAAAAAAGGTATAATATAATTTGATAAACAGAAACAATTGAAAAAATATATTAGAAAGCATTTTTCAAAAAATATTTCCCCTCACCAAACACTCCCCTATTCTCATTTTATATATTTATATATATATATATATATATATATATATATATTCCTATAAAAAATGCACATTTCGATAGAATAATAAAAAGACCTATCAGTGGGCTCTTCAAATCATGTATTACTTGTAATTTACTTCACTCTTCATTGGGGCGGAGCTAGCTTATTACGGGGTTTATTCGAATCTTCTTTGATAAAAAACTATATTATTTATACATGATTAAAATAATTTTTTAAGTATATATAATGGATACCGAACCCCCTTAAGCTACTTGCTGTGTTTATTTCTTCAGATTGAGCTTTCTTATTGAAAATATTGACTTCGCCACTGCTCTTCATATTTTTCTTTTTATACTGTATGACGTTTATTGATATTTCGATGATGTCTTTTAAAAAAAATCCAATTTCAAATAGTTTAAGGAGGCAACAGATTAATTTTTTAAATTTTATTTTGAAACCAGCTATACGTTAGAAAGTTTCTTCTTTTTTTTTTGAGTTACTTGACTAATTAACTAAATGATATTTTTAAGCTAGTTAACTAATAACAAGACTTATATATTATCAAAAAATATAACGAAAAATAAAATTGACCTATTTAAAATTGTTCAAAAAATTTTTAGTCCTTCTCCTAGTTCACAAATAACCACATTTCAATCCATACAATAAAAAATAATCAATCATTATCTTAAAATTTTATACTAATCTCAAAATTTCAAAATTTTAAATACTGGATAGTTGAAAATTGCGTGTGTATAATCAAATACCATTTACATGCCTAACCTAAAAAAAAAATTGTGTTTACACATATATGTGACAAAAATATACTATATAATTAATATGAGCATTCAGGGTTGACTCGTTAAAAATTTTAAAGTTATATTTTTCTTAAATCAAATGTATATCGAAATCGACTTTATTTCATATAAGATATATTCTGTTTTTTTTTTCCAACCTTTATTTTTTAAAATTACTTCAAAATAAGTTATTATCATAAGCACTTTAATATTTATTGAGAGTATAAATAAATAAGCTTAGCTAAATATGTATTTTCCATCTTACCTTTAAAGAGTCAACTACCTAGCTCTACACAATTATTATACACGTCTATCTTCCTTGTTATCTACGGCAAATTAATTGGATAATCTAATTTTTTTAAATAAAATTGACACAAATTTATCAAAAATAATTTATATTAGATTTAATTTAATTATAATAAAAATTATTTCAGTAAATATATTTTGTCGAAATAATTTTTTCTTTTAAAATTGAGAATTTATCCAAAATAAAATCTAAAAAAATGATGCGTTTAAATCAATATAAAGGAGAATATAAATAACAACAAATAATATGATAATTAAAAAAAACATCAGATAATATTTAAGTACTTGAAAATTCAAACAATATTTTATACTTGACAAAACGTAAACGAAAGAGACCAGAAAAAAAGCAAAAAAATCCTCAATATAATCCCTCTTTTTCCTCCAATATGGATCAAATAAATAAATGAAAATGACAAATATACATAATCTTATAATTAAACTCTGGTGAGAGCAGAAGCGGCGTTAAAATTTTTAATAAGAAGGTCGAAAATTTGTAAAAATAGATAGTCGAAGGGGGTTCGACATCTATTATATATACCTATAAATTTATTTTAATCATGTATAAATAATATAATTTTCCGCCGAAGGGGGTTCGGATAAACATCATTGTATGAAGGTAGGTCCGCCCCCGGGTGAGAGTACAATATTACGTATTCTTACTCCTATCTTACGGTAGAAAGACAGTTCTCAAAAAATTCTTAGTTCAAAGAAAATCAAAATTGACCATCAACAATAAATCAGATATAGAATATAAAAAAATTATCTAAATACACAATTTACTTAACAAAATTCCTTAAAATTTCCTCTAATTTTAAAGTTACAAAAACTCCCATTCTTTTATTCTTGAATATACTACTTTACAGCGATATATCGATCATATATATCACTTTATGGAATGTATAAAGACATATGCTATGTACCGATACCGTTGATTGATACAATCTTAAACTGAGACGTTTTGAATGTGTCTAAATTTCACCAAATTAAAAGAATTTTTATAATACCGAAAAAACCAAATATTAAAAGTAATTAACTTTTAGCACTATATATTTTATGTTTAAAAACATTAAAATATGACATATTTTATCTCTTTCTTTTTTTCTGGTCAATTATTATTAAACAGTCAGAAAAAAATAAAATCTTTGACCATAATATTTTCTAAAATATTAATTAATTTGACCAAATAAAAATTGGAACATTATATCACACGTTAACTCATTTATTTCCTTCTATATATATATATTAAACTTCTTCTTCTTCAAAAATATATTCAAAAATGTCTTCAAAAAATAAAAAAATTTGGAATTGCATTACTTCCAATGGAACAGCAGGTTGTGGTTGCAGCAAGCCCAAATTATCAGAAATCATTCAGCCCAAGCCCAAGCCCAGGCCCGAACCCGAGCCCAATGCGCACTCATCTTCAACCTCTAATTCAGATTCACCATCTCCGACGATTATGCCGGCGAAGATCGTCGGAAGTGTGGCGGTGGTGAAGGATTCCGACGATCCGTTTGGGGATTTCCGGCGATCGATGTTGCAGATGATAATGGAGAAGGAGATTTACTCCTACGATGATTTGAATGAGCTTTTGAATTGTTTTTTACAGCTGAATTCGCCTTCTCATCATGATATTATTCTTCAAGCTTTCATGGAGATCTGGAATAATGGCAAAAATTATATCGCAAATTGATGCTCAATTGCTCGAATTCTTCGAAAATGTTTAGACGATAACAGGTTGGGATAGTAGAATGTTATATGACTTATATATGCTTTATATTTTAAGTTAGTCGAATTCTTTAAAAATCTCATTTCCGAAAAATTAGTATTCAATAATTATTATAAATAATATGTTTTTTTTTTGTTTGATAGATCTTTAATTACGATGAACTTTTATATGTTTTTTTTTCGCAAAAAAATAATTAAAAAAGCTATATTGAAAAGGGAAAATTATATATAATGATAAATTAAAAAGCTATATTTTTTTTTCTCAAAAAAATAATGATGAATTATTCTCCCTCAAATTCTCGCTCGCCACCATCCCTATGTCGCTCGCTCCCTCTGTCGCTGTCTCTCTCGTTCTATACAATTAGAAATATATAAATTGTATTTCTGTTTGTATAAAGCGAAATAAAATTGTATATACACATGCAAATATATATATCTTCGTTCTATACACTTATAATTATACATATATATCTTCGTTCTATACACTTATAATTATACAATACAAGTAGTTTCCTGTCCAGTTTTCTTTTGCCTTTTTCTCTTCCTCGTACAATTTATAATTGTGTTTGTATAAAGCGCGCGAGAGAGAGAGAGTGATATTTGATATACAAATATTTTATTTCGATTCAATTGTATACAAATTCAAATTTTATACATATATACAAACACATGAAATTGAATTGAAAAGATGCCAACGATTTATACAAACGAGAGACTGACAACCATTTATACGAAAGATCTGCCAGCGAAATTATATAAATCTGAAAGAGGAACCAGCGAATTATACAATTGCTTCTCTTGTATATATGTATAGGGAAATAGCCTAATCATAACATGTTTGCTGTGAAATACAATTATGCAAGCTTTGTTATAATATACAAATATGAATTTTGTGTTTGGTATAGGTGAAAGTTGTTCTATTAAAAAACCAAATAAAATTGTATTAAACAGAGTGTATATTTATATATATATAAAATTTTCCTAATATTTTGAGGTAAATAAGTAATATACTATGGATCAATTTGATTTTATGTGTTATTGTTTTGATTTTTAATTTAATATCTATATTAATAAATAAACTAATGAGATGTTTTTTTATTCATTTTTTATTTTTAACGATTTGATTTTCGATTCAATCAATAAAAAAATAGATATAAAATAATATATGACTTCTCTAATAACAATTATATTACTTTACAGAATGCTCATAAAATATAAACAATAGTAACTAAAATGAAAAGAATTATTTAAGTGTAACACAAATAAAAGAGCTAGAACAATACTTCACCCGTCCAATTTTATTTATCATGTTATGCTTTTTTCGAAAGTCAATTGACTAATTTTCAAAGTTAAGTTAGATTACATCAATTCTATATTTTAAATAAAAAATATATAGTAAAATATTAGTCAAAATTCTTATAGTCTGACTTTAAAAAAGGAAATATGAATTGAAGACTAAAGGACAAACGTAGTAATTAATAAGGTATTGATATTAATATATAGTAATATTTACGTAGGGGTAAAATAGTAAATTACTATTATCTTGACGAATTTTGATTTGTCAATAACCCAACATCAAAAAATCAATATCGAATCAATACCTAGAAAATTCTTTTTATATATATATATAAAACAATTAAAACAATTAACTCAATAACTCAATGATAATTTTTATATATTTAATTAATTAGTCGATTCGACTTTTATACGCTCCAAATCTCCAAATATACCAATATTTTTTGTTGATTTTTTTTTAAAAAAAATTATCTTTTCTATATATATGGTGTACATTTGTTGTGAAGACCGTGGTCCTAATTTTTTCAAATTAATAAATAGTAGTTGTATGTCTAAGAGCCTGTTTGGCTCAGCTTAAAAGTTGGTCAAACTGACTTAAAAGCTGATTTTTGACTTATTTAATTGTTTGGCAATACTCAAAATAGCTTATTTTAAGTTAAAAAAAACTTATTTTAAGCCAAAAGTTAAAAGTTGGGGTAGGGGTGTTTTTTTTTTTAGCTTATAAGCTGTTTTAAGTTGACCACATTTTTATGTTTTTTCCCTTAATATTTTTATACAATCTTCAAATTACCCATATAACCCTAACATCTCTTTCTTCTATTTTTCCCTTTTCACGTTTGGCATAACAACTTTAGCACTTTTATCCAAACGCATAACTGCTTATTTTAAAAATAAGTTTCAGCACTTTCAAAAGTACTTTTTTAAAGCTGCTTTTATTAGGCCCATCCAAACGGGCCCTAAGTTTCATAATTTATTTCTTCATTTATTTTGCTGTTATGTTTCATTTTCATATGCATCATATTCCTTCTGAACTGTCACTTACATTAACCATGAAAAAATGTGGGACATTGGGTTTAATTCTTTTTTACCCATAAAAGGGTGTGTTTTTTAGGATTTTTTTTTTCATAAAAAAAATTAGTAAGAATATAAATAAAATATTAGTTTTAGAATATTTATATATAGTGTATCAAAATATTATAGCAGTGAGATTGAGGAGAAGATAATAAAATTGAAATGTCATTTATAGAACTTGTTTACATACTTCTATTAGAAAAAAAAATATTTTTTTATGAAATTCGTTATCTTATCGAACAAAATCAAAACATCAAGAGCTTTCCTTAAATGCATATTATAAAAAAAACAAAACATTTATACTACTTTTTGTTTGTTTTACTTGACACAATTCTTAAGAAATTATTTATTAGTTTCTTTTAAAAAAAAAAATTATCCTTATTAATACCATGCTTTGGAAAACAAATTTTAATTACTAGTGTTATTAAACCATAAGGGTAATACCGTAAGAATTTCTCTAATTGCTAAAATAAAAAAGTAAATAAGAAAAAAATTACTTTACTAAAAAATATCAATTAAAATGAAACGAAGTGAGTAATAATTAATAATGTGAAGGTATTTTTTTTCAGGTAAAATTGAAAATCTATTTATAATGTTAGTTATAAATGTAACCAAACAATCTCGATTCAATTTTGCAAAATGTCGCCTAAATTGTAGTATCGCGATTACATCTGGCTCTACATGATTGAGAATTTAGGTTGGAAGGTCTCCTTCGCAATAGAAGACAGCTTCTCGTAGTGACCTGTAAACGTTATTTCTATTTTTCTTTTCGTAGACCGATGTGCTATACTGGGCTTCTTTATGACCACAAAATATTGGGCTTTTCCTAAGGAGCCTATCAAGCCCAAACCTCATACTAATAGAAGCTAAAAAGCCCATTTATAAAAAGTCCGACCCGGGGATGGCCCAACCAAGCCCAGTTTATTTTTTCTTTTTAATTTTTTTTTCGGTTAAAAAAATTCATTTGATGGCATTTAACAAGGAGATAATCGTTTCAATTTGTTTGACGTAATTCGAAGTATAAGTATCAAACTAATTGATGTTCTTTATAAATTCAAACATAAAATCCACATATTTATATACTACAGTAATATGATAATAGTATTGCGTCAAAATAATTAATAATTTGAGATTTTTTTCAAAAAAATAATTTATCCTTTGAAGCCACATAATAATTAAAACAAATAAATTAAAACGGAACAAGTATATTTTACCTTATCCATGGGCTATAGACTATAGTGCATGTCATTGTCAATCTAATTTATTCATGTGAGTATCATGGAATTTTAACTAAATGTCCCCGTTTCAATTAATATTTATGTCAAATCATATCAATAAGTTTAATTATTCATCGAATATATCTATACGACTAGACATCTCATGATTTTATTATAAATTTAATTCCAATTGTTTATTTTGTCACATTACTTAAAGATAATATTTTCAAAATAGAAATTATAATTTTAAAATATTAAATATCACGATATTTAATTTGATCACTTAAAAAAATATTAAATTAACGATATATATAATTTAAACTCGAAAATCTATTGCGTGGTGCGAAAAGGAAAGACAAAATCAAGCACCACTTGCACTATTCTCAACAACTCAAAGAAAGTTGAAGTCTCCCAAACTTTTACTTTTGTTTAACAATAATTTTAGTTCCTTGAACTTTGTTCTAATTGGAGTTGATTGATAATTATACTCGCTCAATTTTAAATTATTTATTGTATTTTTCTCTTATATGCTTCTTAGATAAATATAAATTATTTTTAAAAAATTACGACATATAATTCGAGACAAAAAATGATTAATAATACCAACAATATTGGTGGCTGGTAATATATGATCTATAAGTACTAACAAACGTGAAGCGCTTTTTACCTCTCTAAATTTAATCGAATTCATAGTATCATGTTTATTTTTGATATATGTGTTTTTTCTACATGAATTAAAATTTAATCGAATTTAAAATATCAAATTTAAATTTAATCTATTAATTAGATATTGAGCAAAAAAAAAAAAACCCTACTATATTAACCATAGATAATTAATTCATATTTTGACTTTAAACAAATTTCTTTGCATTAATTCGATATAACTATTTGGTGTCGTTATTATGTCTTTAAATCTTAAGATTATCAAAATATTAGATATCACAATTTAGTAAATTTAATCAAACAAATTTTATTTAACTAACATTTTAAAAAAAAATTAGTATACACTAATTCCTAATTAATACACTTCTAATCCAAACAAAACGCCGGCGTATTTCTCCGGTCCGTCATTTACAAAATACACGTCTCTCATTTTTTGAAATGCGTGCCAAGTCAATAAACTATCTGAACCGGCCTGATGACACTTTCCGACCGCCCGGTTCACCTCTAAAACCGCCGCAATCCGGTCTAAACCGCCGTAAAGTTTCTCACAAAACCTCATCAAATGCTTCACATCATAAACATTGTCACCGAAGAACACCCTGAAAATCTCCAGAAAATCATCTAACTCGCCGGGAAGTTCCCGGCGGGTGAGGATTTTTAAGAGGTATGCGAAATCGTAAGCGCTGTGGAACGTAACCCAGCTTACGGTTTCGTTGCATACAAGCCCCGACGACATCATCAGCTCGGCGAAGCGATAAGAGTCGATTCCGTTCACCTTGTTCTTCTCGAAATCGATGCCGTGACGCCGGAGTAGCTCGATTGAGTCCGGCGCGTGTCTATCACGCTCCACGTCGAAATCGGAGAAGTTGAACTGCCAGATGTATCGATTCACACCG